ATATCTCCCTGTCCTCAGGGCTCAGCTTCCTCGATGGTGCCTGATGGAAAAGTCTCCCTCCAGGGTCCACTCTAGTACAGGTGCCTCTGCCCACCCTCCTGTCAGCAAACTCATTCCATCACCAAGGGGCCGGAGCCGTCCCAAGAATCTTCGGTCATCGTGGGGCAGCACGTGGGGGGCTGACACTCCCTGTGGGCCTCCCAGGTTCAAACCTTACGTCCTGGGCGGGGTCAGTAGGGAGTGCCCAGGGGGTGGGGGTGAGGGCCCTGAGACTGCAGGAAGCGGGCTGGGCTCTGGGAGAATGGGCTGCTTTCCACCGGGGCGTGAAATAGGGTTTTCTCTGTGCTAAGGACAATGTGACTGATACCTTCCATTAGAGCGAGAGGCACCATTGGGCTTTGCTGTGATTGCTTTTCAAGCCAGAAACTGCTTTGTCATTCAAAATGTCCCCGGTCCTGTCCCCGAATCCTAAGCCAAGGTTTATTGAGACTGAGCTGAAGAAGGGCCCCCGCTCCAGCTGCTGGCAATGCCTGAGCAATGCCTCACCTCTCTGAGCTTCAAAGTATTCTTTTTTAAAAAATTAATTTTTTTATTGATCTCAGAGAGGAAGGGAGAGGGAGAGAGAGACAAAAATGTCAATGATGGGAGAGAATAATGGATGGGCTGCCTCCTGCATGCCCCCCACTGGGGATTGAGCCCACAACCTGGACAGGTGCCCTGACCGGGAATCGAACTGTGACCTCCTGGTTCATATGTCAATGCTCAATCACTGAGCTATGCAACCTGAGCAGCATCAAAGTATTCTTCTGTCAAATAGGAATCATCACACCTGCCCAGTCTGCTTCCCAAGTTAGTTGTGAAGATGAAGCAATAAACAGCAAGGACTGCTTCGATGTATCAATCCCGTACTGTGCAGGAGACACTGGACAAGACGGCTGACCCTCAGCATCTCATGTGGCCCTTAGAGAGATCCTGCAAGATGTGGTGGGTAGAACAACAGCCCCCAAGGCAGCCGCATCCTGCTCCCTGGACCCTGTGACTGTGTCAAGACTGCATGGCCGCTGAAACCGGTTTGGCTCAGTGGACAGAGCGTCGGTCCACAACTGAAAGGTCCCAGGTTCAATTCCGGTCAAGGGCATGTACATTGGTTGCGATCACATCCCCGGTGGGGGGGGTGCAGGAAGCAGCTGGTCAATATTTCTCTCTCATTGATGTTTCTAGCTCTGTATCCCTCTCTCTTCCTCTCTGTAGAAAATCAATAAAATATATTTAAAATTTTTTAAAAAGAAGACTGCGTGGCTAACGAGAAATTCAGACTGCATGTGAAATCATGGCTGTTAACAAGCCGACCTTCAAGCAGGGAGAGTCAGCGTCAAAGATCACCATGGAAGGAGGTGGGAGAGGTGGTGTCAGAAGGACGCCACCTGAAGCTGCTGGCTTCGATGATGTTGGAAGGGGCCATGAGCCAAGAGTGTTGGCAGACTTGAAAAGCTGCAAAGGGCAAGGAAATTAATGTTCCTCTAGAGCTTCCAGAAAAAAAAAAGAAGAAGAAGAAGAAGAAAAGGCAAAGAAAAAAAGAAAAAGGAAAAAAAGCATTCTGCTGACTCTTTGAATTTAGCCCCTGGAGACCTGGGTATGACTTTCCAGCCATAGAAATGTAAGATAAACCTCAGTTGGTGTAAGCCACTAAATTTGAGGCAACTTGTTATAGAAGCTACAGAAAAACAGTATGCTGTTAATTTTTTTTTTTTCTGTTTCTAATAGACGAAGAAACCAAGAATCAGAAAAAGTAATGTCTTCTTCGCAGTCTGACAGCTACCACTAAACAGAACTCAGGCTCCGGCTGCCAGGAGCAGCAGGGCTGACCAGCGAGCCCAGCGGGCAGGTTCTGGGGTTGTGCTGCACAAGGGCCCCGATTCCTCGCTGCAGCCAGAGTCGCTTGGGGACGGGCCTGCATCCCCTCAGAGAGTGCCTGGGGGCGTTGAGAGAGCTGCTAACTTGTGTCAGAGCCAAACGAATCAGACGTAACCAGGGAGGGAGAGATTTTTCATTCCTCAAGTTAATGAACAAATGGATTTCCTATTCGTTATGCATGGGCTTTCCAAGTTTAATGAATAGCTCAGGGACAGTCATTAAGTTTCGGTATCTATAGAAAATCAGCACCCGCCAGGTCCAGGAGGCATCACGTACTCACGTAGCGGTTCATTATGGGTGATGCACTTCGCTTATTGCCTCACCTGGTGTTTATCCACGTCACAGGGTTAATGAGCCAGAAGTGATGGATTCGCTGAGCATGCCCCACCCTCCAGTCCGCTTTGGTTTGTTCCTTTGTGACAATCAGATGCAAGTCGCCAGGAGCCTCAAGGCCTGCTGTCCGGGTCTGTGCTCCAAGTGCTTTTGCTTGTTTGTCTGTTTTGTTTCTTTGTTTCCGGGAAAACTGAGTTGCCTCTTGATATTCATCAGCCGTTTTCCATTCATTTCTGGAAACTAATCTCTTTCCTTCTCTCCCCTCCAGAAGGAAGACCGTGGTGGGGCTTGTGTTTCAGGCTGATAGAAGCCATCAGAAGGAAGGGCTACTTCAGACTGGATCCTGGTGTTCACTTCCAACCAGTAGCAGCACCAGAAGAAACAGAATAAAAGGGCCCTCCCCCTTTTCCCACAGCCACAGCTACAGACACTCAGAGAGGATGGACTTGGAGATACTTTCAAAAGGAAAACTGCCGCCACCCAAAACATGAGACTGATACCACATGGCAACGCCTCTCAACGTGCCGTCACTGGGACAGTCGGTGTTATACTCCGCTCGGCTGTGGTTCAGGGAGGAGACGGCGCCGGAGGCAGGAGCCCATGGCCCTTTCCCCAATGGAACCAGCGGTGGTGGCGGGACCCCCTCCCACCGAGAGCGGTTTTCTTCAGCGTGGAAGTCGGATCCCGTCTTTCTGCCATTTTCCGCCGCCACAGCCTCCTTCCGTCCCACGTGGAGTGCCAGCCTGCTGCTGCGAGGACCCAGCTCCGTGCAGGGTCCTCACCAGCCTGAACCCCGTCTCCCTCCCCTGGGGCCTGTGCACAGATGGCTCCACTGCAGTTACGTTTGGGAGTGGGAATGCGAGGCCAGGGGCCGCCTCTCCTCTCTCTGCATGGACCCGTCCCCGGTGGCCTTCCCCACAGCCCTGTCCTGCTCCCAGCAGCTCAGCCAGGAGGCGGGGCCGCCTGCGGGGGAGCAGTCCTGTCACCCCTCTTACAGAATCTCCAGGTCCATCCAGGTTTTACCAGAGGATCCTCAGGGGGCCCCTCATTGGAATTCCCCCAGCACATCGTGAACAGCTGGCAATCTTTTTATTTATGTCCAGCTAGAGGCCCAGGTGGGGGTCCAGCTAACCCGCCTCTTTTGGGGTCAATCAGGAGGGGTCAGCCTGGGGGAGGGGCCATGGGAGGTTGGTTGGCCAGCCCCACCCCCTGGTCAAACTCCTGGTCGAACTCCTGGTCGAGCGGACAATTTGCATATTAGCTTTTATTATATAGGAGTTCACCTGTGCCTTACAAGATGGTGTGAGTTTCTTGAAAACAGGAAATGTGCCTGTTTTGCCCTTCACTGGACACTCTGCTTCCAGCACAGTGTGGCCTTCATGTCTCCCACAATCCTCTGCTCTGGGGAAGGATGGACACAGGGGACTTTCAGGGGAAGGTGCCCAGAACTAATAATTGAGACCTGGCAGATGCTATTATTTTTATTGTTACTGCAGAGTCACCCACGCCAGCCATGGATTCTCTCTCTCAGCACCAGTGGCATGACATCATAAGTCGCGCTGTCCCTGGCGTGCCTGACTCCCTGTGCCTCGTCCAGAAATAGCGCGTGGAGTTAATTATAGTCCACTCGCCAGACAGTGACCTCCCTGCGCCTGGTCACCTTGGCCCCCTCCCCAGCACCTGGCGCCATGTCTGCTGAGCTTAAAGGAGGGAGCGTCCATCTGGGAATAGACGCCGGTCCTCAGCTCCATCTCCACCCCATCCTTGTTCGCTCCATCCCTGGAGGACGAGGCAGCGCTGAGTGACAGCGGCCAGGAATGCCTCCCCTGCTCCATCCTCCCCACCCACCGGGGCCACGGGGACTTGGGAAGGAGACCAAGGTGAGGCCGGCCAGATGCCTCACAGACGTCGTCTCCCTGGCAACAGCCTGGCCTGTGACACGAGGGGTCTGGGTTACTAAGCAGCCCAAGGTCAACTGTCAGCAGGGTGCAGCCTCCTGGCAGGTGCACCTCTCAGAGCAGGGCTCACCTGGTCCTCACCGTCCCCACCTCAGCCCTCGGGGATGGGAGCGGAGCTGTGACCCACCCTCCGGCAGGAGCAGCCACGGGAGCGGGCGGGTCTGTGCGGTCCTGCTCGGTGTGATGAGCGCTTTTAGGTCTCCGATGCCTGATGACAGAAGCCCCACCTCCTCTCCTTCCCGCGGGAACCTGAGATGGACACGGCAGTCGGAAAGGAATCGTCACGGAGACGGAGGAACAGGAAATGAGGTTTATTGAGCACCTGTGCAGGCCAGCGTGTCTCACACACACTCACACACACACACACACCCAGGCTGGATCAGGGGGGACGGGGTACACACATCCCAGCTCCGGCAGCACCTGCCCACCTGCCCCCTCTGGAGAGCCCGGAGCGGCCGCCTGCCTTCCAGGGCAGGTCAGTGAGGTCAGGACGGAGCTCGCACAAACAGGTCCTTCTGTGGCCTGAGATGCCAAATCCACATCGAAGGGCAGTGCCTGCTCCCCCACACCGGCCTCCCCATCCGAGTCCAGACAGGATCCCGCGAGCCGCTGCCGACCCCGCGGCACTGCCCTGCAGAGGCCTGGAACCGCGAGGGGGGTCTCGCCCTGCCCGGGCCCCCCATCAGCTGCAAACTTGTTCCTCTCGGCAGGAGAGAAGCTCTGACTGGTTCTTCTCCAGTTCCCTCCGGGGCAGAGGGACGTTGGCCCAGTCTGGCCGGGTTTCAGCACCATGGGCAGCAGCCAGGCGGGCTGTCTGGACTTCCACTGGATTCCGGCCCCCAAATCAAGTTTCCACTTCAGAGGAGAGGGAGCAAAACTTGCAAAGCATGAACAAATGCAGTAATGATAATAATTAATAAAAATATTAATAATAATCCCACCGACCGCCAGCATCTGTTGGTTTTAATGACACTGAGGTCTCTCGAGAAAATGAAACAAACGATGAAAGAACAAAAGCAGGTGGCCGAAATGTGTCGAGGTCTCCGACGTCCTCGGCTCTGGGTTCAAGTTTCAGAAATCCACCGCGGTCCCCAGGCCTTCCGGAATCTTCTAGGGGCCCTTCACATTCCCCGGGCGGGCGGCCAGGCTGGCGAAGTAGGCGCACTGGGAGGGGTCGCACTGGCCGGGGGGGCCGGGCGGGCCGGGGGGGCCAGGGTGGCCGGCGGGTCCGGTCTCGCCCTGAGGGCCGGGGCCCCCAGGAAGCCCGTCTTTGGCGTAGCCGGGCTGCCCGGGCTGACCTGGCCGAGGAGCAAAACACACAGGAGGGAGTCAGGCTTCTCTGGAGCAGACGGCCCTGTTCCCCGTGCTCCCCCCCGGAGCCGCCTGGAGACGGCCTCAGAGGACAGCGGGTCTGGGCACTAGGCATGGTGCCCTGCGGGACTGGGACGGGCTCCGCGGGCACCAGGGTGCAGGGGCAGCAGGCTGTGCAGGGGAAGCGCTGCCTGGACTGGACGAGGGCAGCCATTGGTGCCCTCAGAGAGGACAGACAGGCAGATGAGGGCCAGGGATGGAAAATGTGCTCCGTATGGGGCAGGTGGGAAACCTGGCCTTCTGTGTTCTCACAGGCTCCTGGGAGGGCTTCTGACTGTGAGTGGGACACCCAGTCTTGTCATTAGCCATCAGCCCGATCCACCTGTCCCTAGAGACACCTGGTGACACCCCGTTCTCCAACACCCAGCTCGTCTGCAACTTCTAAGCTTTATCACAAGGGTAACTGCAGACTGGGACCACATCAGCCTATTCTGCAAACCATGGGCAAGGACGACATACACAGAATGTAAGCAACTGACAGCCCAGAATGACCCAGAAAATATGACGCATAGAAACACTCCCCTGCCTCCACTTATTAAGCATCACATACAATATATAATCAACCTGTCTCCCCTTTGCTTTGGCAATTGGGAAGTTTGGTGCTAAAGGCTTAGAGTTAACCTTAGCAATGAGATTCCTTCTCAAGTCTTACTAATCATGTTAGGAAATGTGAGCTCCCGTAAATGAAATTTAAAAAGTAGATTCTTATTTTAAAAGACCTTCAGACATTTCAGGAACACTAAGATGCATGAGGGCTTTGGTGGCCGTATGCCAATAGCCCTGCCTTCCACCAGGTCCTGAGACCAGGAGCTTACTCATTCCTTCAGCTCAGAACCTCTGAAGACCAGTCTTACCCCAACCTCATCTGACCAGTCAACTCCCCCTTCCTTATTTAGAATTGCCTTATTTAAAAATACTATCTATTAACATTAAAGCTATTGAAAAGCAGGCAAGAAGTCAAAAAGAAGTATTTATAATGCATTTGTAGGTATCTTCTCTAAGGAGAATAGCAATGGTGGCCACGGGGAGACATTTGGAAAATCAAGAAGATATATATACACTAAAATTAAAATGACCTGTAGGCCTAATATTCAGAAGCGACCTTGGGTCATCATATGAACTAGAATTAAACTTAGAAAGCTCAGTGGCAGGGAACTCCATAACCACGCAGTGTCACACCTTCAACTTCCTGCCTCCATCTCGCACTGTGGGACTACTGTATTCCCATAGGGCCACGGGGTGTGGAGATGGACTTGCCTGGTCCCAGGACTGTGGCCAGCACTGTGGCCAGCATCCCCCGGGGATGCTGAGACATAAGGATGGGGTGCAGAGCGAAAGAATCAAGGCTCATGTTCAAGGGTATTTGGGAAGCACCAAATGAGCATGTGTTTTTATGCAAGTTCCTCGGCCCATGTAAGAGGCCAGCGTGTGCTGGGGATGGCGAGGAGGGGCACGCAGCTCCCCGCCCGGCCCAGGCTTATTTCACCCAAAGCCAATGGCAGGGACGCCCCACCGTTTTCCTGGCAAGTCCAGAAGCGAGCATTTCAGCTGGGACAGACAAGCAGTGTCCAGTGACCTTGTAGTTAAAGGTCACCCTCTCTCCCCAGCCTCCCCCGAAGGGACCCACCACCACGGACGCTGTCCCCACCAGAGGCCCCGGATGCCATGCCCACCTGGGATTCCGGGGGGGCCCATCTCGCCTCGGAGGCCGACACCTGGCGTTCCTGGGTCACCTTTGGCTCCGCGCTCGCCTGTGAGGGGAACACACACCTTCAGAGGCAGAGACACGGTGTCCCCTCCGTTATTCTTCCAGGCGAGGAGCTAGGTATCAGGTCGGGAGTTTGGTTTTGGTCCTTCCTCTTGCTCTCTTCCATCTGCCTGCCTGCAGGGCTGTCTGTCTGCCTGCCTGCAGGGCTGTCTGTCTGCCTGCCTGCAGGGCTGTCTGTCTGCCTGCCTGCCTGCAGGGCTGTCTGTCTGCCTGCCTGCCTGCAGGGCTGTCTGTCTGCCTGCCTGCCTGCCTGCAGGGCTGTCTGTCTGTCTGCCTGCCTGCAGGGCTGTCTGTCTGCCTGCCTGCCTGCAGGGCTGTCTGTCTGTCTGCCTGCCTGCAGGGCTGTCTGCCTGCCTGCCTGCCTGCAGGGCTGTCTGTCTGTCTGCCTGCCTGCAGGGCTGTCTGCCTGCCTGCAGGGCTGTCTGTCTGTCTGCTTCCTCGCTGGTTGCCCCCTAGGCTATATTGCAAGTGAGACCTGCTGCCCTGGCGCCGGGGCCCAGGGAAGGCCTGGGGCCTGAGAGCTGGCGGGTCTGCCACGGTTTTAGCTGCAGCTCCAGCCACTTTTTCAGCGGCAAAGCCGGCATTTGGTGCCCATCTGCCTGCAGGTCCCATCTCTCTTCCTCAGTCAGTTCTCTCGCACAGGGCAGGGGGCGTTTCATTGAGCTGACACTGGAGCAGGGGAGATGCAGGGGGACAAGGCAGGGGAAGGCAGCAGGTTCAGTCCGCCTGGCAGAAGCAGAATTTTGCAAAACTGCCAACTCCACAAACCATTTCTCCTTTGGGAAAAGTAATGATGCCAACATACCGGCTACCACGCCCGAGGAGGATGGCGTAAATCTCTCCTCAGTGTGCGGGCGCCTCCCGGAGGTCCTTCTCTGCCTTGTGGACCCTGCGAAGTGCATCCTCCCCCCACTCCCCAGCCCCGGCCCTCACTCACCTTTGGGACCAACTGGTCCGGACGGTCCTTCCAGACCCCCCTGGCCAGGCCGTCCCGGCTCCCCCATGGGGCCTGCTCGGCCCGGAAGCCCGTCTTTGCCGGGGGGCCCCGGGGGCCCGGGTCTGCCCTGAGACGCCTTCACGTGCGCCGGGGGCATCTGGGCCATGAGGTAGGCGAGTTTGGCTGCGGAGGTGAAAACAGAGGTTTCATGAAGGAGGGATCACCGAGAGGACAATATGGCGACCGGCTGCAAGGCCTGGGGACCGAGTGCACGGAAAGGGCACGGTCACGGCAGAACCGGCTCTGCAGGTGGTGAGCTGCCCGTGTCAGAGGCAATCAAGCAGAGGCAAGTTGAGCCTCACTCGAGGGAGCTCTGCAGAGGGGCCTGTGCCGGGGAGGCTGGCTGGAGCCTGCCAGGCGGCCTCAGCCTGGATGGCGACCGGAGCAGCTCTCTGCAGCCTTTTTCCCATGAGGCTGCCCAGTGCTGAAGGACAGACAACAGGCCGCTCCGGGCTGCCAGAGCCCCGCCCGCACCTGCAAGCTGCAAGGAAGACAGAACTCATGCCCCAGCCTGTCCGGCTCAGTGGATGGAGCGTCAGTCTGCGGAATGAAGAGTCCCAGGTTCGATTCCGGTCAAGGGCAAGTAGTACCTTGGTTGCAGGCACATCCCCAGTGGGGGATGTACAGGAGGCAGCTGATTGATGTTTCTCTCTCGTCGATGTTTCTAACTCTCTTTCTCTCTCCCTTCCTCTCTGTAAAAAATCAATAAAATATACTTTAAACAAAAAAAAAAAAAAAAAGAAGAAAGAAAGAAAGAAAAAGAAACTCACTCTCCAGCTGCTTCCCAACCTCCTCCTGGATGAGCCGCCGCAGGGTGTCCAGAGAGGGAGACTCACCCTGGAAAGAGGGAGGGAGGGAGGGAGGGAGGGAGGGAGGGAGGGAGGGAGGGAGGGAAGCAGGGGGGTTACTCATCTCTGAGGACCTCCTGCTCTGAGACCGCTGACAGGAACCACATGTTCCACATCCTCCTGGCCCGGTCCTTGCCACATCGGGATGCCCTCCCTCACCTCGTCCCGTTTCCTAGGTGACCTGGACTCGGTGAGCCGGGCCCCTGCACTGCCTGCCTGCTCTTCCTGCACAAACCCGGGGGCCTAGCCCCAGATCTCCCCCTGGCGAGGTCCTGCCAGCCCGAGGGACCGGCCCACGGCCCCGCCCACCTGCATGGACTCCAGTCTTCTGCCCGCCTTCCTCCCCCCCGTCACCCCGGCCCCCCTCAGATGACCGCCCAGCCTCGGAGTGGGGTTCTCAGAGGAGCAGGGTTTGGCCCAGGTGTGGACACTGAGGAATCCAGGAGGACAGTCCTTGTGCCACGTGGGGGTACACCCCGGCTGAAGGCCACACCCTCCCTGGCCCCCTCGGCCCCGAGGAGCCCCCTTACCCTCAGGCCCGGGAAGCCTGGCTGCCCCGGAGGCCCCGGGGGCCCGGCCGGCCCGCTCTCCCCGGGCGGGCCTTGGGGGCCCATCAGGCCCGTGTGGCCTTTGTGGCCGGGAATGCCCGGGTCCCCAGGCTGGCCTTTCCCACCGGGAGCTCCTTTGTCACCCTTGGTGCCGGGATCTCCCTAGAGGGGGAGAGAAGGGTCAGCAAGCACAGAACCGGGGGTGCCTTGGGGCGAGGCCCCCGGTCCTCTGGCTCCCGAGAGGAGGCCTCCATCCGGGCCCAGGTGAGAACGTGGAGCCCAGCGGGACACGGCCCCCGCCATGGTCACGCAGGGGGTCTGCAGGATCAGGACCGAACTCTGATTTCCACACCCGAGTCCAGGGCTTCCTCCGTCTGCCCGCCTCTGAGACCGAGCACCCAGCTGCCAGCCGGCTCCGGCCCCGTGTCCCCCGTCCGCTGAGGGACAGCGGCACCACGGACAGAGGTGCCTCACAGGCAGGTACCCTCCTGCTCCCTCCTCCCTCTTCCCTCCTCCCTCCTCCCAGCTCTCCTGGGGCCACCGAGCACGAAGCTGCCTGGACCCTGCTCTCCCCACTGTGGACCCCGAGGTCCTGGGTCAGTCACTGGAAATCATGGCAACCAGGGGGCAGCCCAGTCCTCCACCCAGTGTGCTACTGTGCGCTGACTAGCAGGACTCAGCGCTGATCAAGGGTCTGAAAACATGGTGGTCACATGATCGGCCTCAAGGTCAGCGGGCCCCACAGCGGGGCGGCCACAGAGGGAGGGAGACCTGGGGGGAAAGGACCAGAAACAGGTGGCAACTGGAAGGGGGCGTGGCGTGGACGTGCCGGAGCCGCGGCAAAGGAAGGCGGGTAGTTAGCGCGTCACCCGTGGATCCGTTCCCACGAAGAACCAGACACAGCACAGCGTGCGTCTGGGCTCTTCCGGGCGTGAAGCAGGAAACACGCAGGTGGATCGCACACCCACCCGCGTCCTTGCACAGACCGCGGGACGGACTCTGGGGGGGAGGGGATAGGGACCAAAGGCCCTGGGGGAGGGGCCCCTTCTTACACTGCGTCTGCTTTCTGCAATTTGCATTGTCTACTGTCTGCATGACTATACCAAAGAGGAGAGAGCAGTGAGTTAGACATGAACTTGGCCAGATCTGAGGCGGTCATTCCATGTAATTAGACATGAATCTGGCCAGACCTGAGGGGTCACTCCATGTCATTGGACATGAACTTGGCCAGATCTGAGGGGTCACTCCATGTCATTGGACATGAACTTGGCCAGATCTGAGGCGGTCACTCCATGTCTCAGGTGAGATCACGTCACAGGGACCATCCTCATCGGGGCCCAGCGTGTCCTGTCCACCCGCCCAGCACCCTCTGCGGGCAGAGGCCTGGTCCGATTCCCGGCTCCCGGAGCGCAGGGCGAGTGCCTGCCGAGTCCTGGCAGAGCTCCACCAAACCACTTAGCGTGGAGGCCGAGCTCGGCGTACGGATTGGGCCTAGAGAAGACTCATATTTGGGGGCTGTGTGTCCTGGCTCCCAGCCAAGCCTCAAACCATCCCGGCAGCACGAGTCCGGGGGCACCTGCGTGACACTGGCCGGGGGTCGGGGGGACCCCTCAATCCCGTCTCACCCACAGCCCCTTTCCTGGCTCGTCCTCAGAACCACGAGCACAGGGCAGAGGCGAAAGGGGTTCGCCTCGCCCACCGACTTGGCAGGAAACCAAGGTAAATGCTCCGCAGGACGAGGGAGACACGCCCGGGTGCGGGCGGTGAAACTGTGTGGTGCAGCAGGGTGACAGGTGACCGCGCGAGGCTCATGGGCATGTTTAACCCGCCAAAGGCAGGGACGCTGCCACCATGTGAGAACGCCCCTCCCGCTGGTGTCGCTAAAAAAAAAATAACTGATTTCCCTCCGTGGATCTTTCCGGAGAAACGAAATGGAAGGGGCGGCTTCCTGAGCGCAATGCCAAGCGGTTCATTATGGAAAAACCTGTTCCCTGGCCACCCGGGTGCCAAGCCTGGCTCCGGGCGCCAAGCACGGAGCACACAGGAGAGGGCGCTGTCCCGGCCTCTCACTTCCTTGGCGTCTGTAATTGCAATGACGCCACTTCTTCACATAACATCCAGAGAAGGGGACCGCCTGGCCAGCGTGGCTCAGGGGCTGAGCGTTGACCTAGGAACCAGGAGGTCACGGTTCGATTCCCGGTCAGGGCACAGGCCTGGGTTGCGGGCTCGATCCCCAGTGTAGGACATGCGGGGGGCAGCCGATCCATGATTCTCTCTCATCTTTGACGTTTCTCTCGCTCCCTCTCCCTTCCTCTCTGACATCAGTAGGAAATGACGACCAGCAGCACTGAGGACACCAGGCGGGGGGCAGGCCTCGTCTCCGGGAACGGCGGGTGCAGGCCGCAGCTCTCCGGGCGCCTTGCACGCGGTGTCGGGACAGTCCCGGCCCCAGAAGCGTCCCCTGCAGGGGGCACGCCCCCCACTCACCCTCTCTCCTCGGGGTCCTGCTGCTCCAGGCTTCCCGGGCTCGCCCTGCAAGACACCCAACGCCGACGGCCCTCACCGGCGGTCCCTCTGCCTGGGCGCCTCCAAGGACAAGGGTCTCCAGACGCCTTCCTCTGAGAACCCCCGCTTTGTGCGGACCCTGCAGGCCTGCGTCCCCTCCGCCCCCAGCCTCCTCCCGCCCAGGCCCACCCTGGACCCCGTGGCACCAGCTGACGCTCGTCCCCCTTCCCCGTCCTCCCCCCCTTTTCCAGGACTGTCGTCATCAGGATCGGGGTCTCCCTCAGGGCCCCGCCTGGTGGGTGTTCAGTGCTCCCAGCCCAAGGGCCCTGCTGACTCCACGCCCTGACCCCCGCAGCGCTGACCCTGTGGCTCCCGGAGGCGTGTGCGGCCGGCTCCCAGTGGCCGAGGCCAGCCCCCTCCCCTCCGCCGGTGGCACACTCCCGCCTCTATGGGCTAATGTTCCTGTCCCAACTCATATGGCGTGGTGTGAGGGGTGTGGCTCAGGGGTTGAGCATCCACCTAGGAACTGGGAGGTCACAGTTCCATTCCCAGTCAGGGCACAGGCCCAGGGTTGCAGGCTTGATCCCCAGTGAAGGGTGTGCAGGAGGCAGCTGATCAATGTTTCTCTCTCATCATTGATGTTTCTCTCTCTCCCTCTTCCTTCCTCTCCGACAGCAAGAAAAATACTGTTTAAAAAAAAAGATGGTATCCCGGAACCGGCTGGTATACAGAACTGACGGGGCCCTTCCGAATTTCAAATCTGGACGCCCTTTCAGAGAGCAGTGAGTGAGTGTGGAGCTCGGCCACCCCCAGGGCCGGGGACCCCCTGTGTCCCCCCGCGGAGCTGGCCCACACCCGCATGGGAAAGGGCCACCGGGGGGGCGTTAGGGGTGACACTTGCCTCCTTGCCTGGGGCTCCCTTCTCTCCGGGCTCGCCCTGTGAGACAGAACACGACACGGTGAGCTCGGCGGCTGCACATCACACGTAACGCACCGTCTTCCAAACACAGCCCGCCCCAGTCCCTTCCAGCAGAGACATCCACGACCCGCCGACCAGGGGCCTCGCCGGGGAGACGCTCCGGTGGGCGGGAGCCTGGGCCCGGCCCCCTCGGCCCGGGGACGGCTGTGCCGCCACCCAGAGGCCCCGGGGCATCAGCTACGACGGCAGGCCTCCCGGAGAAGCAGGCTCGGGGGTGAAAGGAGGCACCAAGAAGACCCTGGGCTCTGGCGTCAGCCTCCCAAGTTCAAGTCCCGACTCCTCCGTTTGCTGGCTCTGCGGCCATGGACAACCTCCTTACAACTACCTAAGCCTTTGGTGCCTCCGTTTCTTCATCTGTGAGATGGGACTCGCTGCTGTCCCTGCTTCAGGGGTGGCCAGGAGGTGGAATGTGTCGGTAGCTATAACGCCCCTGGAGCTAGAGTAGGCGTGTAGTGAGAGGGGGCTAACACGCGATCGGCCGTCACGCTGACTAAGGGGTCTGCAGCAGGGAGTCTGGGAGAAGCCAGATGAGTGCCAGGCGGGGAGAGGAGGCGTGTCCAGCGAAGGAACAGGCCCAGTGGACAGCAGTGCACAGAGCACTGCATCCTGGGCTACAAGGCAGCGAAGGGCGAAGACAGGTCACAGCTCGAGTGGCTGGCAGGGCTGGCAGTGGGCACCTCGGGGGCCAGGAATGAACTGGAGGGGAGCGGACAGGAGAGGGTGAGCTCTCACCACGACCCTCGTTCACAGGTCAGGAGCCAGGGCGTGGCCGTGGCTCACAGAAGGCGGTCGGTGAGGGGGTTGGGGTAGGGGGGAGCTTGCCGGACCTGGTTCATTCCCTCGCGTCCCTCAGCCCAGAGACCTGCCACCCATCACCCCCGGCTCCTCTGTGCCAGGCGGTCAGGTCAGGAGACCGTGATGCAGAGCCAGCTGGACGCCAGCTGACCAGGTGACCTTGAACCCCACCTGCAAGCTCTGACCCTACAGCCGGAACATGTCATCTGCAAGGTGATGCCTCAGGGGCCGTGAAGTTCAGAGGCCGTGATCCCCACCCCAGCCGCCACGCCCACTGTGTGAAACAGTGTGTATGGACCGAGCTCCCCAGGGGCTGGGCACCCCGCCAACCGCTTACACAAACCAGCTCCCGCGCCCGGAGGCAGGAGCCGTGGCTCCTCTGAGTCAGGAGGAGCCAGGCCTCAGGATTAGGGTGCAGGGGGTGAGCCCCCCCCCAGGTGTGACACCAGGTCGCTGTAACCCAGCAGGTGGACCTGAGGGCACGGGGGACAGAAGGACACATGAACTGTACCCCTACAGGCAGGCATCTCGGCCCCCTGGGGTGCTCTGCTTACCGGAGGCCCCCGGGGGCCCAGGAAGCCAGGCAGGCCCGGGCTGCCGCCGTCTCCTTTGCTGCCTTTCTGGCCCTGCGGAGGGAGAACCGGTCAGTTCTTCAAGGTCAAGGGCCGGCTGGGGCACGTACCCCCCTTCCAGGCCTCTGTCATGTATGTGCAGGCAGCCACCAATCAATGTGTCTCTCACATCAACGTTTCTCTCTCTGTCTTTCCCCCTCTCTTCCAATTTCTCTTTAAAAAAAGAAGAAATCAATGGAGACTATTTATCCTCGGGAGAGGATTAACAACAACAAAACTTACAAGAGGCAGGGCTGGGAGGAGAGGTACGGACAGGCCAACATCTCCCAGCCTAGAATCCATCAAAGACCCATCTCCCCACCATGATCCCACCCCCAGCAGACCCGACCTCGATCCCAGATCCTCTCTCCAGCGACCAGGACTTGGCCGATGACTCGTCCCACCCTCCTCCTACTCTGCCCCCGCCCCTCCCATCCCTCCCTGCCCCCCAACCAGCAGGAGGACCCCCTGGAGCTAACTCTAAGGCCGCCCATCCCCGCTGCTTGCCCCGCGCCTGAGCCCTGGGGCTCCTGGGGCTGAGCTGGCTCTCCGTCTCCCGCACACAGCCAGAGGCGTTTTATCGCTGCTTTTAGAAGTCTTCAATAGGCTTGTTCCTTTGGATGCCTGCTGTGTCCACAGGGAGCCAACTGCATAATCGCATCTATTTAATTTCTTTAGTTTTCCCATCACCATTTATCCTCTCCATTCCCTCTCCTCTCCCCTCCCCTCCGCCCCCCCCCCCCACGTATTTTAGACTTTAAAGGAGGCCCGCCTGCACCCTCTTGCTTCCGCTGCCTGCTCTGCCCTCGAACCCCATGCTTTCCCGTCGGTGCTGCGGGGATGGAGGGCAGACCCTGTGGGAGGTGAGCCCCACGCCCCTTCTGGAGCCTCCTGGACATCCCGCAGCCCAGGGCGACACTCACCGGGCTTCCTGGGGGGCCGCGGTCCCCTGAGGCGCCGGGCGGTCCGCTCTTCCCCTGCGGGAGACACCGGAGATGCTGCAGGGGCTTTTAACAGCGCGTGGGGCTGCGGGGTAAACCACGGGTGTCACCATGGTAACAGGCCCTGCAGACACTGAGTCTCACAGCAAACTCACCGGCGGGCCCCTCGGTCCTTGGGGGCCCTGCGGCCCCGCGGGTCCGGCATCCCCCTGGAACGGAGAGAGGGCCGTTATGGCCGGGTCACGGCGGCGTGTGACGGGACAGATGCGGACTCAGGCTCACCTCGCCCCCCAGAGCCCGCACACTGCCTGCCCTTTACTCCGCAGGGGCCCCGGGCGTCCTCTCCGGGACAGTTTCCGGGGCCCCGGGTCCTTCGGGGAAGCCCTTTGCACTCCCCCTGCCCGCCTGCTCCCCCACACCCAGCCGGGCCCCAGGACCCACTCACATCTTTTCCGGGGGACCCCTCCCGGCCGGGGGGCCCCATGGTGCCGGGCTCTCCCTGGAACGAAAAGCAGAAAGGACGCAGCTGCGGTGAGGCGAGGGGGGGGAGGGTGCAGAACACAGGGTCTCAGACGGCGGAGTGCCAGCAAGGGAGGCAGGAGCCCAGCGCAGGCGCCCTGGGCCCGGGCCGCGCTGGGGCTGGGTGCCCACAGGCCAGTGGGAGGCCTGGGCCTTGTGTGCCCTCTGGGCTGCAGGGAACAGCAGCACAGGGCCAGGCACACCGCCTGGCATTCTGCCTCCTCGCCTGCTGCCCCCGCCCCCCGCTTCTCCCCGTTCACAGGGCACGGCGGGGCTTCTGTTCGGGGCATCTATCTCGCAGGATACACTGATGCTCTCACAGGTGAGCGCTGTGCAGCCCTGCCCAGGGCCACCGGATCCCAGCTGCCGTGGTCCAGCTGTTTGTAAGTCAGCATCTGACCTCCCACCCCCCACCCTCAAGAGAAATTTCTAGAAAAACTAGACCAAGCGAGCCCTAACCGGTTTGGCTCAGTGGATGGAGCGCTGGCCTGTGGACTCAAAGGTCCCAGGTTTGATTCCAGTCAAGGGCGTGTACCTTGGTTGCAGGCACATCCTCAGTAGGAGGTGTGCAGGAGGCAGCTGGTCGATGTTTCTCTCTATCCACGTTTCTAACTCTCTCTCCCTCTCCCTTCCTCTCTGTAGAAAATCAATAAAATAAATAAAATAAAACTAGACGGGGCGAGGGATGGCGCATTGGGCTTCTCGGGGGACAAGGTGTCCCACTGGCCTGCAGGGCCCAGGAGCCCAGTGAATGGAGCACCAGCCAGGCCCACCGGGGTGGACCTTTACGACAGGACAGACAGGACAGCACTTACCCGGGGGCCGGGGGCACCAGCGTCGCCCGTGTGTCCCTTGAAGCCCTGGGTGAGAGAGACCCCAGTTAGCCCACGGAGGGCAGGCTGGCGAGAGAGAGGGGCAGGCACCTGGCGAGATGGCGGGGTATGGGGGTCCTGGCTCCTCTCACTCCCCACCCGGGCCCTGCTCTTCGCTGGGCGCTGGCCACGCCCCTGAGCCCGAGGCCTGGGTGAGGGCCCTTCCTCCAGCTCAGTCACAGCCCCGCTGGGCGGGCCCCACGCGTGCCACAGGCCGTGGGGTAGCAGCCGGGTGTGGCCTGGCCTCATGCTTCCTCCTCCTCGTCCTCCTCTTCCTCCTCCTCCTCCTCCTCTTCCTCCTGGCCTCACACCACTGGGCTGAGTCCTGGGTCTCCATGGCAACTGCCAGGAAGCCCTCCCGCCCCATCAGCAGGCGCCACCTGGACAGCAATCGTCCTCTGGGTCTGGGCCCCACGGCAGGCGCCTTCTCCACCCGAGGTTCTGCTCCCGGTGTGACCGGGAGGGGAGCAGCGGGGTTCGGTGAAAAGCGGATGGATTTTTTGTTTATTTTCTTCGTATTGAATGTGGGCCAGGGAAGTTATTGATTTTTTTACCGAAAAACACATTAAGGAAAGAGAACTGGCATTTTGATCTCCTCCTTCTTGCCAGATAATTGGATTTTAGAATTTTCATTAAAGATAGTACTTTTTCCAAAAACAAATTTAAGGGTTTGTGTAAACAATTTAAAAATTATGAAGGAGTAAAGTATTTAGCAAAAACAAACAAACCCACACACACCCACACACACACACACCACACACACACACACACACACAAAAAAAAAAAACAACAAAAAAAAAAAACACACAAACCCTACAAAAATCCTCAACAGCCCCAGACATATAGAATGAGTGCCTTTTACAGGAAACCACCTGTTACTGCCGATGGCCTGACACAGGTGGAGGTGTGGGCCCATAGAGGGCAGAATCCATGCACGTAAAAAAGACCAAGGACGCCAACACCGGTTTGGCCCAGTGGATAGAGTGTCGGCCTGCGGACTGGAAGGTCCCAGGTTCGATTCCGGTCAAGGGCATGTACCTTGGTTGCGGGCACATCCCCAGTAGGGGAGGTACAAGAGGCAGCTGATCGATGATTCTCTCTCATCGATGTTTCTAACTCTCTATCCCTCTCTCTTCCTCTCTGTGAAAAATCAATAAAATATATTAAAAAAAAAAAAAAAAAAAAAGACCCAGGAAATATCCTGGCCGCTACCAGAGCTTTCCCTCTGGGTTGTAGGATGACAAGGACCTCTTTTCTCCTCCATATTTTTAATTATGACCATCATCATCGTTGCTGTTCTGCAACCAGAAGGGGTTAGTTTAACCCTTTAGCCGTGGGAGTGCTCCAAGCTACCATGAAGACGCCTGTTGAGGCTCCGTCGTCCAGGGAAAGGCCACGGACGGGAACAGAGGACAAGAACAAGCAGCCTTCGCCCACGGCACGGTCCCCGCGGCTGCCAGCGGGAAAGTGGCCTCACGGCGCGCATGGGAGCACTGAGCCCGCAGGGGGTCCAGTCCTGAAGGAGGGGGACCCTGACCTCCAGGACCTTACCCACCACGGCTGATGCTTTATTCTACCAGGGACAGCTCACTCTCTCTCACTCACACACAGTCATACAGTCACACTCACACACACACACACAGTCATACAGTCACACACTCACACTCATACACACACACACACACACACACAGTCATACAGTCACACACTCACACTCATACACACACACACACACACAGCCATAAGGTCACACACTCACACACAGTCACACACTCACACACAGCCATACAGTCACACACTCACACTCCTACACTCACTCACCCCTCATTCCTCCCCACAAAGACACACACACTCACACACATATGCATGCACACATACTCACACACACATTTGCATGCACACACACACACACATGTTCACACATGCACAGCACTTACCGGGGGCCCTCTGGCACCCTCTGGTCCTGGCAGGCCCGGCTCTCCTGCTTTGCCCTGAGGAAAGAGGAAAAGGAGGGGTGAAGAGAGCGTGAGGGATCCCCCTCTTTTTGCTGCTGGGCTTCTGAGCACTGCGTTTCACACGCCTGTTCCGGCCTCTCTGCCAGCCCACCCTGGCCCTAGGGTCCACGGCCTCCCACTCACCCTGCCACCCGCACTCAGCCCGCTGCATCCCGGTGCCCCTGGGCGTGCTGGCCTCTTGGGCTCATCCCTGCAGTGATGGCTCCTCAGCCTCGCCTTCTCGGAGGCGCTCCAGCTGCTGGAGAAGTGACGCAGGTTCCCCATCCTAACGGGCTCGGTACCTCTCCACCGGCCACTCCAGGCAGCTGGTAACGACCGCACTTTACAACTGGTGACACGAAGGCTTGGGGAAACGTGGCCAAGTGAACTACTATCTATCCATCTATCTGTGTATCAATCCATCCATCATCTATCCATCTACCTGTGTATCTACCTATCATCTATCCATCTACCTGTGTATCCATCCATCATCTATCCATCTACCTGTGTATTCATCCATCATCTATCCATCTACCTGTGTATCCATCCATCCATGATCTAATCCATCAACCTGTATATCCATCCATCATCTATCCATCTACCTGTGTATCCATCCATCCATCCATCATCTATCCATCTACCTGTGTATCTACCTATCATCTATCCATCTACCTGTGTATCCATCCATCCATCATCTATCCATCTACCTGTGTATCCATCCATCATCCATCCATCTACCTGTGTATCCATCCATCATATATCCATCTACCTGTGTATCCATCCATCATCTATCCATCTATCTATTGTCTACCTACCCACCCATGCCCCTAAAGTATAGAAGTGGCAGAAGTAATGCCGAGAAGGTAGCCTTCACTGTGCCCGTGCACGTAGTGGCTGTTACTGAGAAAGCCCTCTGGGCCTGTGGAATGGGGAGAAGTCAGTTCCTTACCGGCTCTCCGGGGGCACCAGGTTTTCCATCTCTGCCCTCTTTGCCTTCTGCTCCCTGCGAGAGAAACTCACATGGGTCATCTGTCCCCAGCTGCACGGGGCAGGGGGACACATGCAGTTCCATTCGCGAGTGGCAGCTGAAAAGGTGTTTCAGCCACCAGAACTGGTCTGATTGCCTGGTGTTTCCCCGGCACTGAGAGTCAGGCTTGGGTGTCTGGTCCCCAGTGTCTGGCAAATAACAAAAAAGTGGAGTAATTGTTGATCCTGAATGTCTTTGTATTAGATGACATTAGTTAAGCACTCTGAATGAGTTTAATCCACTTATCAGCCATTGTTTTTATATCATGTTTTTATTGTTTTCATATCATGACTTTATTGTTGTTATATCATGCTGTGATTGTTTGTTTATGAATCAATTTATATATCATTTTCACATACATTTTACTAATTTTCTCTCATCTCTGACACTTCTATCACAGAGAAAGGGTGAACAGCGATATTAAAACATTTCTTCTAATTAATTTCCTTTCAATGTGCACGAATCCGTTCACCAGGCCACTAGAATTCAATAACACACACAACTCCCCTGGCGACCTTGTCTTGCTTTAATGAAGGTGAAATGCAGTCTTGCTTGCTTGTGCAGGAGAGAAATGGGATTTTTAAATGTCACTTACTGGGATTCCGGGTAACCCCGATGGGCCTTCAGGGCCGGGGGGACCTTCTTTCCCCTAAAAGATCCAGACAGAAAGGCACCGTCAAATCTCTCAGACCGGCTGCTCTGCAGGCCAATGATGGCACACACAACTGCCTTCTTGGGCTGGGAGGGCGGGTGGGGGGTCGTTGGTGAGAAACAACAGGGCTTCTTTTCCAGCCTCCTGCCTCTGGCGTCGCTCCCCAGGCAGGGGCTCCGAGCAGCACGTGACCAGGCGGCCCGGTGTGTAGCCGGGGACCCAGGGACTGAGGAGGGGTGAGGTTAAAAGTGGGTGAGGAAGCAGTGTCTGAGCGGGAGGAGCTAAGCTGTCCTGGGTGACTCCCAAAGGACTCGGCTCCAGAGTCCAGAGGCGCAGGCCCTGACCTGTGGCTTTGCCAGGCCCAGAATATGACTGCGATTCCTGAGACGGTGTTTGTACCTGGCACTGACCTTTCCCCTGTGACCTGGCGCTGACCTTTCCCCTGTGACCTGGCGCTGACCTTTCCTCTGGGACCTGGTGCTGACCTTTCCCCACCGTGCGACCTTGAACTGGTAGCTTCACCTCTCTGATCGCCGTTTCACGTGAGCGTGTGCGCAGGGGCCATGCCCGATGCCTGCCCCGGGCCCCTCTGCCCCCTGACTCCAGGAGCGGCTCTGGACGCCCGGCGAGAGCACAGCTGAGGGGCCAGAGGCCAGCTCACCAGCTGTGGTTTCCAGGCCTTGACCCCTGACCTCCCCTTCCTTAGCGACAGGCTGCCTTTGGAACGACTGGCCGACAGCACATGGCCACAGGCTCAGGGGATCAGTGCCAAGCCCTCCCTCTGCCTGCGCCTGTCCACACGGGGGCCCCCGGGGAGGGCGGAGACACGGGCTCCCGTGGGCCTGTGTGGCTGCCACTGAATTCTGGTCTCGGTCCTGGGTCATTTCTCGGAGCCTTTACCTTAGAGGCCGGTGACCGGCTCCGGGGGAAAGTGTCCCCGGAGGTGGACTAGGAGAGACAGACCCTCGGGGGGTGGAGGGGGAAGGAGACCAGGGCAGGGTGGGCGAGCACTTGGGCTCCTGGGAAAGCCAGACCCAGACCCACAGGGAGGAACGTACCGGTGGCCCCGGAGTGCCTGGCGGTCCCGCAGCTCCTGCGACTCCATCGGCCCCCTAACGATGACCAAGCGGAGAGTGAGTGAGTGTGTGCCTGGCCGCAGGCAGGAGCTCGGCTCTGGGCACGAGGCAACACTGGCTCCCATGCCCTGCCCCTGCCCCCTGCCCTCGGCCGGAGCCTATGCATTTCCAAGGCAGCCTCTGCCTTGCCCACGGCTGGGCTCATTCGGTCACAGAGACCTTGGGGAGACGGCGTCTGCAGTGAAAAGGGTGCTCAGGGGGCAGGGTGGAAAGCGGAGGGGACTGACGACGGGCACTTACCGGCGGCCCAGGGCTCCCCGGGGGCCCCATGAAGCCTGGCACTCCGGGGCGGCCCTGGGAGAAAGGGGAAAAGGCGTGGGAGGGAGTGAGGAGGCAGAGGGGGACCAGAGCGGCCACGGCAGCTGGGAACACGTGGCTGCGTGACACGCTCTCGTCGGTCTGTGTGAGTGCAGGCCCCGCGGCGACAGCCGGACGGCGAGCAGACACACAGACACCACGGAAGTCCCCGGGGGTAACAGGAGCCGTGTGCCTGCACCCCGCCAGTCACACGGTTATTTTAGGGAAAAGACCCTCGTCTCCATGCGGAGAGGAGTCCATGAGAATTTTAGAAAGAACTAAACAGGGGGGACATGAGGGAGCGGGCAGAGGGAGGAGTGGGAGGCAGCTGTCATACTATCGACAATGAAAATGAATCAAAGACATTTCACACAGCCACGTTCCTAAGCCAGGCCAACCCCCCTAAAATAAACGACGTCCTGCCCCGGAACGCAAGCTGCTACGCCCACTGTGGACCGCAATGCCCCCACAGCGCATCCGGCCCGTGCGGCTCAGGGGCTGAGCATCGACCTAAGGCCCAGAAGGTCACAGTTCCATTCCAGGCCGGGGCCCAGGCCCAGGTTCTGGGCTCGATCCCGAGTGGGGCGAGCAGGAGGCAGCCGATCCGTGGTTCTCTCTCATTAATCATGTTTCTCTCCCTCTCGCTCTCCCTTCCTCTCTGACATCAGTAACAATATATATATATATATATTTTAAAATACATGGGGAAATGTTCTCGGGAGAGGATTCACACAAAAGCAATGAAAAGCAGGCTCCTGGGAGAACTGGGGAGGCGGGGCGGGGGGAGGCGGGGCGGGAAGGGGAGTGTGACCTGGAGCCGGAGGAATCCGGATGGGGAGCAGGGCGGGTGGTGTTCGAACCCCCTGCGCTCAGGAAGTCGGGAAGGGGCAGGGGTGCGGGAGAGACAGCCTCCAGCCCCAGGGGCCGCTCATCCTGACGCGCTCACCTGCTCGCCCTTCGGCCCCGCCTCGCCGTCGGCCCCGCGCTCTCCCGGGCTTCCCTTCCAGAACAAGAACAGAAGTCAGTGCGAATGGCAAGAGCTACACTGCGAAGGGCAGTCTGCACGCATTCGTCCGCCGACTCATCGCTCCTTCCCGCTCCTTCCCGCTCCTTCCCCGTCACAGAGCAGGGTCCTGCCGCAGCCCCAGCGGTGTCCGCCGCAGAAACAGTCTGGTTGGTGAACAGCCCTCGATGGCTGGCCGGGCCGCGGGGTGCTGCCGGAGACAGGCAGAGCCCCCTTCCGAGAGCCTCCTGGTCGACCCTTGAACGGGGACTGAGTTAGGGGCTTTGGAGACCACCAGGAGGAGGTGTGGCCAGCACTCATGCAGCCTCCTCTCGGAGCTAACTGCCGTCCCCAGAGGACGAAGATCACAGCCAGACGCTCCCTCTGGCGGCCAGGGCACCCACTGCCCCGGGAGCCGCACGCAGGGCGAGCCTCCCTCAGGTGCACGTCACCAACACTCACCCACCCTCACCGGCGTGGCCCGGCGCGCGCTCGGCGGTGATTACCGAGAGCCACGCTCTCCTCGGCCCACATCCTCCCACCTCACACCCCTTGGCGAGGGGTGACGCCGAGGCCCAGAGAGGTCGGGGATTCTGCCTCAGGCCACACGGCCCCAAAGGCAGGGCCTCACCAGTGAGACCGCACATCCCAGGCCCACACTCATCACACTCTGCCAACCCCCGGTGTTCGTACGCGAACAGCCCGAGACCGGACGGAGGCCCGGGACCCTGCCAGGCCCGAGGTCGCGGGAGCGTCCGTGCCGCGGTGGGACCTTGGACGTGGGGTTTCTGCTCGTTCCCAACCTTCCTTCCCCCAGACACGGCTCCTCCACCCTCAGACTGACCTGCGGGCCCGCGGCTCCTGGCGGCCCGGGAAGGCCTCTGGGCCCAGCCTCGCCCTGCAGCAGGGAACAAAGAACAGGGTGAGGGTCCTGCCTGGCCCGGTGGCTCAGGGGTAGAGCCGGGCCTGTCAACCAGGAGGTCACGTTCCATTCCCCGTGGTTCGGACACCGGCCCCGGTTGTGGGCTTCTTTCCCAGTGGGGGGCGCGTGGGAGGCAGCTGATCAGTGATTCTCTCTCATCATGGATGTTTCTACCCCTCCCTCCTTCTCCCTCCCTCTCTGAAATCAATAAAAATGTATTTTTAAAATGTTATATCTCTTTTAAAAAAATTAAAAATTAAAAAAAAGAACTGGCCAAAACTGGTGCAGGCGTCTTCAAACTACGGCCCTTGGGCCACATGCGGCCCGCAGAGGAGTCTGATCCGGCCCGCCAGGTTTTTTGGGCAGTGAGCACAGCCGAGGTGTTACAGTAGGAATTAGTAGTTCATATAGTCCGGCCCTCCAGCTCTCTGAGGGACCGTGATCTGGCCCCCACTTTAAAAAGTTTGAGGACGCCTGGGTCTGCGGACTGAAAGGTCCCAGGTTTGATTCAGGTCAAAGGCATGTACATTGGTTGTGGGCATATATCCCTCGCGGGGGTGTGCAGGAAGCAGCTGGTCAATGTTTCTCTCTCATCGATGTTTCTAGTTCTCTATCCCTCTACTTTCCTCTCTTTAAAAAAAAATCAATAAAATATATTTTAAATAAATAAATAAAGAGTGCAGGAGCCCAGGCCCCGTCACCAGCGACCCATCACCCTGCGACTTCTGTTCGAGGGCCTCCCCCTGGGGTGTCCCCGCCCGCCCCAGCACCCGGAGCAGAGGGCGCTGGCTGTGGACTCACAGGTAGACCCACAGCCAATGTGGGCAGCCACGTGGCAGCGGGGCGCTCCCATGGCCCAGCGACCCCGCCCCCCGGGGCCACGCCCAGGACGGGGCTGGCCCATTGGAACGGGCAGCAGCCCTGGGACCTCCCAGAGGACACGGGACTGACAGCTCCTCACCTTCTTCCCGTCTGTGCCGTCTCTCCCTGGCTTTCCCGGGAGCCCTTTGTCCCCCTTAAAGCCCGGCAGGCCGGGCAGGCCCGGGGGGCCCGGGGGGCAGTCCTTGCACACGTCCTGGGAGAGAACGCGCAGCAGTTACTGGCGGAGCAAAGGAGGCCCGGCCCACTCTCCCGCCGGCGCACGTCCGGGACGCTGCTCTGCCTCTGCTCTGCCTCCGTCTGAGCTCGAGGTCAGCACGGACCCCTCGGAACCTCTGCCTCGCTCCTCCCCACTCCACGTTATCACACTCCCGAGAGCCCGGTCCCCCGTCAGCATTTGCAAAACGCACGCAGGTGACTCCGCTTTTACCTGAACCAGGAGCCGGACGTCCTCGGGAGCGAGGGGCGAAGAGGGGCCCTGCCAGGGAGAAGTGGATGAATGCAGGCGGGCACGCGCACACGCACATACAGACACACGCACCCGCACGCACGCAGGCAGGCAGCACGTTCTGTGTATCTTCAGGCAGCAAAGGGCCTCACAGTGTGACTCCTCACACCCCTGGGCCGTCCCCTGACGCTCACAAGCCTGGGAGCCACCGAGGACTCCTGAGGTAGGGGCTGGGCCGGCAGCCAGCCCTCCCCAGGCTGACAGACATCGTCCGTTCTGGTCCCCAGTCCCCTCCTGCTCCTTCCTCTGCTCCTGGTGCCCCTCTCCTCACCCCCCATTCACGCCTGCAGGCCACGTGGAGGGCTCCTGAGCTCACACCGGGCCTCCCACACACCCCCACACCCCCCTGGCCTTGGCTTTGAACCCAGAGCTACGGCTCCCACTACGGCCACTCTCGCTCTCAGGCCCTGAAACAGGCCAACGGGGCACCGGCTCGCCTGTGGCCTGTCTCTGCATCGCACTCCTCACGCAGCCCCCTGCCCACAGCGTCAGGAAAAGGCCCCGTGAAGGCCCCTGAGCCGCCTGAGCAGCCTGCTGCTCCCGCTGGAGCCCTGACCGGCCGCCAGAATTCACCAGGAACGAGGGAGGACCTACCGGTGTGCCCGGAGGCCCCCGCTCGCCGGGACTCCCTGGGGCGCCCTAGGAGAAGAGAGAGAGGACACGTGACCTGGCTGAGCACACAGTTCCCTGGCCCATGCCGCCGACCTCTGCCAGCGGGGGGACTCCGTGGGGAAAAGAAACCACCCAACTGTGCCGGCTGGCGCCGACCGACTTCCTGTCTCCCAGGAAACGGCCAGGTGCCAGAGGTGCTTAGGACAGAGTGCTGCCCCTCCTCCCACTCCTGTCCCAACACAAACTGCAAACAGCTGGTGCACAGAGTGTGTACACATGTGTGCACGCTTGCACAGTCACACACACGCACACACACACACACACGCACACACACACACACAAACACACACTTATCTTAAATGCCTGCCATCCCTCCCCAAGCTCAGGTGGGCGGCAGTTGGCAGGGGGGAGGCCCGTCTGCCATCGGGGCTGTGGGAATGCCAGGCCCAGGGCCCCGGGCAACGTGGATGTGTGGGCACCAGAGGCCATTCCGGACCCAGCCCGGACCCACGCTCCACTCACATCCTGGCCAGCGGGGCCCTGGGGGCCGGGGAATCCGGGCGAGCCTCGCGGTCCCTGGGGAGAGAGGAGAGGCCCCGTGGCTTTCCGGCGTTCAGTATGGGGTCTCGGGGATGGGCTGGGGGGCAGAGGTGCCCTGACTGGGTCAGAGGGTCCTGGTTTGCTTGTGGCTGTGACTGAGGAAGCCTGGGTTAAAAATCAGTGCTCCTGGGGCTCTGACGAGCCTGGGGCCCCCCGGCCGTCCCTCTGCGATGCAGAGATGCTGCGAAGCGCAGCCAGACAGTCTGCCCCACGGCACAGGCACAGTGGACACGCGGACAGGTGACCCCGCCTTCCCCCTCCCCTGCAGGTGCACGCTCACTGCGGGGCGTCTGCCCCCTAACGACAGGGGTTTGCTTTACGGGGGTCCCAGCCCTCCATGTAAACCCGCTTCGTCACAGGGACCGCTGCAGGGAGCGGCCCCTCGCCCACGTCATACCTACCGGGGGGCCTTTGTCTCCGGGGGGTCCGGAAAGGCCCTGGAAGCAGACACGGCACATCAGCAGGGTAGGCGGAGAGGCGCCTCAGCACGCTGCGGGGTTACTTCCAGCAGGGGCTTCCTTAAAGGGGCAGGTAACCACCTCCCTGCAGGCCCCCGGCCCACCCCTCACCCCGCCGGGTAACCACCCTGTCCTGGCTCCCATGAGGCTCTTGACGCAGATCCCCTCCCTGGTCTGTAGCTCTCATTTGGGGCAGGAACCAGCACCCAGCTCCCAGCATTCAGCACCCAGCATCCTTGGGCTGCACCCCTTCCTGCTGGGGTCGGGCTGGGGGAAACAGGGCTGAAGCTGCGGGGGTGCCCCTCCCCCTTCTACTAGGAGGTGCACACATAAACACATGCATGTGCGCCCATACATGCACACATGCACACACACGCCTGCATGGGAACACACACACGTGCACATGGGTCTGCGTTCCTGCAAGCTGCCCACCCCAGGATGCTGGATGAAGGGAACTCACAGGAGGGCCGGCAACCCCGAGGCCCGGGTCGCCGCGGGTGCCCGGAGAGCCAGGGATCCCGGGGGCACCTCGGTCCCCCTGGAGAGAGAAAAGCAAGACGCAGAGGTCAGTTCCGGGAAGGACGTATGCTCGTGGGGGGGGGGGGCACAGTCAGGTAGGAAGACCTCAAGTGGGCCGCTGGCTGCCTCTCGGGACAATGTGGAGCTGGTCCTATGACCTTGGGTCGGTCCCATGACCTCTCTGCACCTTAGGACCCTCATCAATCAGAAACAAACAGAGCGTTCTCCCAAACACCCATGGAGAGGGACGTGGGGGATGAGGACCCGGAGGGGGCTGAGGTGCCCAGAGACGCTGACAGCGGAGCTTTACCAGTGTGACCGGCCGGCGCCCACGGCTGCGCCGGTGAACCATACCTTGGTGCCAGGAGGTCCAGGCAGTCCGGGCGGCCCTCGAGGCCCCTGGGAAGCAAGGGGACAGGACGGTCATCGAGCATGAGAGGCCTTGCCCACCCACCTGGTGCCCGCCCGCCTCCTGCCCGCCGTGGGCATCCTCTGCTGCTGGTGGGGGAGGGCCAATGGGCATGCTCTCCCCGCACCTCACTGTGGGCGGGAAACACCCTGTTTTTGAGGCACCGGGCCCCCAGGGGAGAGGCCTGACCCCACCACCTACCGCGTCCATGTGACCCCGAGCCTGGCGGGCAATGCCCCGGAGACCGTGTCCCCCACCACAGCCTCCTCCCGCCCGCCCGGCACCACCGGCTCTGCCTGACTTCCCGCCTCTGACTCCGCTGGGCTGTGCCCCTGACTCACCGGCTCTCCGTCCTTCCCCGCCCCCGGAGGCCCGGGGTGCCCGGGAGCTCCAGGATCCCCGCGGGGGCCCGCCGGCCCCGGGCGCCCCTCTTCCCCAGCTGCTCCCTGGAAGGAAGTGGACAGGTGCCGGGATCAACGGCACGCAGGGACCGGCCTTCGGCTGGCGAGGCAGCCGCGGGGTGGGCGGGCGTTCCGATGGCGTGTGACAGCCTTCCTGTGTCCCCCGGGTCACATGCTGCGGGCCTAGCCCAACACCTCCACCGAGAAACAGTTTCTTAGTTCATTTATTTTATTTTATTTTATTATTTTATTATTGTTATTATTGATTATTTACAGAGAGGAAGAGAGAGGAATAGAGAGCTAGAAACATCGATGAGAGAGAAACATCAACCAGCTGCCTCCTGCACACCCCCTGCTGGGGATGTGCCCACAACCAGGGTACATGCCCTTGTCCGGAATCGAACCTGGGACCCTTCAGTCCGCAGGCCGACGCTCCATCCACTGAGCCAAACTGGTTTTGGCATCAACATTAGCTCATTTTTAATAGCTAACCGGGTCCGGGCACGCACCCTGAGTCCACTATGAGCCCGAGTCCTGTGAGGAGGGGCCTTTGCCACAGAGGGGCGCAGAGGGAAGTCCCTGTGGGGACCGGGGGGCAGACAGCCACTCAGCGAGGAGAGAGGTGGGAAAGACCCAGACGGTGGGGGGTGAGCGGTCCATGTGTGATGTTCAGGACACCAGTTTGCATCCTCTCTCAGAGCTGCCGGAGCAAACAAGGCACTGTGGACGCGGGCACGCAGGGGGCGTCCTGGTGTTCGGCCCCGCCCCCGCCCATGGCGCCCAGTGGTGCGGCTCCCTCGCAGCCCTCCCTCCTCCTCCTCTGCCAGGAGCTCCCACGCCCAGCGTGCCGGCCCCGGGAGGGAGCTGGGCTTTCGCTCGCTCCAGGCAATGCTCATGCTCTCTGACCGCGAGGCCCTCAGCCCGGGGGCGGCTCTGGCTGCGGAACCCCGGGGAGGGCCCCACCAGCCACAGGGACCCTTGTTCCAGGCAGGGCGCCCCGAGGCCTCCCGCTGCCTGACAGGGGAGGTGCAGCGAGGACGCAGAGCAAGAGAGGGGGCCTCTCCCGGGCTTGGGGCTCCCCCAGACCCGCTCACACACAGGAAGAGCCTGCCTGGGGGCGGGGGTCTGCACTGCTCTGCACAGCCGGCCTTGGCCCTCAGCCAGGCGGCCCTCAGCCATGGACAGCTGTCTGGCTCCCTCTGGAGGTGGAATGTGCTCACTGTTGGTGTTCCGGGTGGACACTGGGGTGGACACTGTCCCTCTTCTCCCCAAGAACTAATGTGCTTCCTCATGGTCCCCCCTGGGGCCTGGCTGCACGCAAAGGCGTGCCTGGTGCGCCGAGATCAGAGAAAGCGGGACTTCGCGCCGGACAGACCTGGCTGCTGGGCTATGTGGCAGGGAATTCAGTGCATCTCGGAGCCTCAGTCTGCGTGTCTGTGAAATGGGGGCGTGTGATTGACAGGTCTGCTGTGAGGGCGATGTGAGGTGGTGGTGGGTCTGCTAGCTCCTTCCCCTCGGAGGGCAGTGCGGGCGCCTCTGTCCCCGCTTCCCAGATGGGTCTGCCGGCTGTGTGCTCAGACCACCCTGTCTTACCTTCTCGCCACGCTCCCCGTCTTTCCCAGGGGGGCCTCTGACTCCAGGGGGGCCCTGGAGGAGGAAAGGCTATTGACACGGTGGCCGCCAGAGAAGGGGGACTAGGACCCTTTTCAGTCAGTGACCACAGCTCTGTCCCCGTGGGTCCCCGTTCCTGACCCTGTGCACCCAGCACGCTCCCCGTGCACCCCAGCACACTCCACTCTGCCCCCAGGCTGCGGCTCTCAGAGGGCGGGGCAGGGCGGGGTGGCTCAGGGGACTCGGGGAGGATGAGGATGACTGAGGACAGGCTGGCCAGACCTCCATCTGTGTGACCGGTGCGCCCAGACACAAGGCTCAAGGGCACATGTTCAAGGGATGCACCCAGGGATGGGGCGGGGGGGGGGGGGCGAAAGGTGCTCAGTGCCTCCTGGGCCTGGGGCCCAGCATGGAGCTGGCATCTATAGGCAGCTGGGCCCACATGTCACATGGCTGGACAAGGCAGTCGCTGACGCCAGGGAAACACCAGCAAAGGAGGGCGGCTCCCAGAAGTGGGTGGTGCATAAGGAGGCAGGTGGGATGGGGTGGGGTGGGGTGGGGTGACGTCCTGCGACAGTGGTCAGCAAACCGCAGCTCGAGAGCCACATGCAACTGACACTCCCACTCCTTCTAACACCATTTCTTCAAAATAGACTCGCCCAGGCCGAAAACTGACTTCTGCACATGGGCCACGAAGTTTCAATCGCACTGTACGTGAGCGCCCACACGTGGTATTTTGTGGAGGAGCCACACTCAAGGGGCCAAAGAACCACATGAGGCTCGCGATCTGTGGTTTGAAGACCACTGTCCTGGGAGCAGCGACAGTAACCGCTAAGGACGGGGCTCAGCCTCCGGTGCCTCGGTTTCCCCCAGTGCCAATAGGGCACAGCCATACCCACCCCCCGGGTGGGGAGGGCGAACACATCCACACGTGTGGTGCTCAGAACCAAGCCTGGCACGTCAGCGCCCGCCTCTGTCCTCTAAACCAGGGTCACCACCCCATGTCTGGGGACCACTGGCGGCCCATGAGGTCCGAAAGGTGGATGACCGCTGCTCTTAACAGCCCCGGTCCTTCTGGGCCCGGGCCGGCCCAGGCCTGGTCCCCTTCGGGAGCTCCACCCGGCGTCTCCCCGCTGGAGAGGGAAGCTGTGGCTGCGGGAGGTTAAGCTGGTCCCTCCCGGCCACCTGGGCCACGGGGGGCGGAGCCTGGGCAGGTGGTGTGAGCTCTGAACCCACCACCCGCTCCTCCACTCGGGAGATGCAGAAGCTGAGATCTTCCAGGCCCTGCCCCGGCCCCGATTACTCACCACACTTCCTGGGGGGCCGCTGGGACCGGGGGGCCCTAGGGGACCAGGAGCGCCCTGTTCAGAAGCAGAAGAAGCTCAGACAGGCCCGGTGCGCCACTCACAGACCTACCCCATCCTCTCCCAACTGCCTGCACGCAGTCCTCAGCACTGACTGGGACTCCGTGTAGCCCAAGATTTCCCTCCACGTAAGAGGAGCCTCCTCCTAGCACCCCCAGGAGCCGAACCCCAAAATGTGGGACCCTGGCACAGAGGTGGGACAGGGTAGACAGGACTCAGGAGGTTCCCTTGGCACAGAGACGGGGTGTGTGTGTGCGTGTGTGCATGGTGGCTTTGACGAACCAGGGAATGCTTGCTGAAGGAAGTGGACATGACCTGGACACCGAAGGCCGGCACAGACTCCAGGGGGGCGTGTGAGGGGGGTCCGGGCGGGTGGACACTGGGGTGGGGAGCGGGGCCTCTGGAGGTGTGGAGGCCGTTCCCTGCGAGCCTTGACGTCCGCTTCCTCCAGGCAGCAGGGCCAGGGCCGCCTCTCCGACCGGGAGGAGCTGCCACCTGCCCTCCGACCAGTCACTGCCCGTGGCCCACCTGCTCCCACGAGGCCACGTGCACGGCAGCGTGGTCATGCAAGCACTTTACGGCCGGACATCGGGCCCGGGAGCGGGGGACAGTGCCTGCGGCTCTCCCCCCCCCACTGCCCCAGGGAGACAGAACTCTAGTGGCCAGGGCACACGTGTCAACCCCTGATGCTCCGGGCCCAGGCGGGGCAGACACAACAGGAGCGTCCGAGGCATGTGCATGGAGGGTGTGCATGGAGGGTGTGCATGGAGGCGTGTGCATGGAGACGTGTCTGTGCTCATGGCTGCGTCTGCAGATCGGGCGTCCATACACACAGTGCAGTGCATGCACCGGATTTTGGAACGTATGTGTGTGACGTGCACACAAGCACACGTCGCAGAGCCATGCATCTGGGAGTGGTGTCTGCATGTCCGTGGGCATCACCGAGGGCTTGGAAGGAGGGTGGGGCGCGTGGACACCTGGGCCCTGAAACGCTGGGGTGTAGGGAGGCCTGCCCTCCCTGTGGGTGGCACACTCTCCCCCTTCCTCCCCTCCCCCGTCACCCAGAACGAAGCACAGGGTCCCTCCTGGGCGACCCTCCACCCCCTGCCCCGAGGAGACAGGCAGGGCCGGACTCACGGGGTCTCCAGCGGCTCCGCGTGCACCGTCTTGTCCCTTGGCGCCCTGCATGGGAAGTAAAATGGGGGCGGAGGGAGGGTACATTACAGGCAACTCTGTCCTTGTCCCCAGGCAGGGCCTCTCGGCGCCCCCTGCTGGCCAGCCGGGCGGCCCACGCTGAAGCCACAGGGCGGGCCTGCGGGTGCAGGAAGCAGGCCGGGCACGGGGCCCTGCACCCCATCCTCGCCACCCAGGACGCAGGGCCGGCACGGCGTCTGTGTTTACGTAAAAGGGGCTCCGAGGGGCAGATGCCCAGGCACATGGCAGCCAGGGGCCCTGGGATCGGGCCCAGGCAGGTCCCCCCCCGGGTCCCCCAAAACTTAAACCGCCGCCCCAGAAACAGACAGCCAAGAAGCCAAAGCCAAGAAGAACACCAAAAGGAAAAGGCACATGACATCATCCTTCCACCCGGAGCTGCCGGCCAGGCCGGACGGAGAGGGCTCCTGCCCCCCAAAAGGATTTGGGAGCCGGGAGCCGTCCCGAGGGCAGGCGCGGAGCCGGAAGGAAGGCTGTGTGGCCCAGCCCAGCCCTCCTAACCCACATGTCAGTGACGAGAAGGACACCCAGGGGTCTGGGGTCAGGGCCGCCCTGTGGCAGGGGGCTGTGTTTTGGGGCGCTCTGGGTAGACCAGTTTTGGGGCTGGAGGTCCCAGAAGCACTGTGCCAGCACCCTCTGCTGGGTGCTCCTGCAATGGCAGGCCAGTGGGGCCAGGGGCCGGGGGCCAGGGAGGGACAGAGGGACAGGGGCTTGTGGGCATCTCTGCGTCTGGGGCCAATGGGTGGGGTGAGGCTTTCTTACCGGCAGCCCAGCGGGTCCTGGAGGCCCGAGTTCTCCCTGCGGCCCCTGCAATGACACAGTCGCCATGAACGAGCCACTCCCCCCTCCCCCACACCCCTCATCCCCCACCCCTGTTCTGTGCAGAGGGGCGGGGAGGACGTGCGCAGAGGGAGTGAGCAGAGATCCACAGATGGGGGCGTCCTTGGGCCCCGAGGGAGGAGGAAGGGACCACATGGGGCTCGGCTGGCTCCTGGGGCTGCTGGGCCTCGGACATCCTGTCTCCGGGGGGCCGGGGGGGGGGGACATGGGGCCTGGGGCATGGGCACGGGGCACTCACCGGCTCACCGGGCACACCACGGTCCCCCTTCTCTCCTTTCGGTCCTTGCTCTCCCTGGTGGTGGGGAAGCACAGGTAGAGCAGCCCGCATCGCCCACTGCAGACCGCCCACCCCCTGCCCCCTGCCCCTGCATGCCACCCCCCCCCCACCAGCTCCTCCTCTCCGCTCTGATTCCCACTCATCAGGCCTCAGGTCAAGAAGGGCCCCCTCGGGGTAACTGAGCCCCGGGCCAGCCACGCCCTCGTGCACAGACTCAGGCCCGCAGAGCGTCCTGCTCCTCCGTGGGGCGGCTGCGGTGGCAGGTCTGCACCTTACTGTGCGGCTTCACCCTGCCCCCCATCCCACCCCCACCCCCACCCCCACCCCCCGCCCGGAGCCTGGCAAGACCCACGGACACTGCTGCAAAGCAGGCCCGGGGCCCCGGCCGCTCGGGGGTCGCGTCCCAGCACCTGCGTCAGAGAGCCTGGGCGGCCGGTCATCGCCCGTCAGGCCTGCCCGTCCTCCGAGCAGCCTCTCTCAGGCCCGCCCCTCACTGCCCCCTCCGGTCTCCATCACTGCCAACTCCCCCTCACTCTGCCACTCATGTCCCCCCCCACCCCCCCCAAGATCCTGCTCCCTCCACACCACAGGGCCTGCGTGGAGGGACGAGGGAGTTACCCCCAAGGTCTGCCCTGGGCCTGGGCCGCGGGGAGGTGCCCTCGGGCCCCGGACGTGGAGCCTGCCCCTCACACGGCCTGCTCCCCCGGCTGCCGGCACAGGCCAGCGGTGACCGGCGTGGTGGGCAGAGCCAGGGCCCAGCCCCCAGAGCACCCGGGGTCACAGCCAGGGGCCCCACGGAGCCGCTCCACTTACTGGCGTCCTGGGGTACGGGGTGAAGAAGGAAGGCTGGAAGGAACCACAGAAAGGAGAGGCGTGAGTCCGAGCTGAACCCGCCCTGAGGACTGAGCCGGGGAACACAGCTCCCCTCCCGCCACCCTACCCCCCGGCCTTCACCACCAGCCCTGACATTGGAATAAGGTGACCAGGCGTCCCGCTTTTGGCGGGACAGTCCCGATTTTTAACCATGTGTCCCACGTCCCTCGGCGTTTTTAAAAAGCCCCGGTTTTTGGAAAGATTCTTTTACTAAATCTTCTGGACTTTTTAAAAACGCCGTGGCGGGACGTGGGACACATTGTTAAAAAGCGGGACGTCGGGTCACCTTACGTTAGAACCACGTTTCCCTGAAGCCCTGTGCTCTGGTTAAGACAGGAAAGCACGGTGGTTAGACGTTGGGACCCTGGCATCACAGGGTCTGAGCTCAAGACCGGTCTCCCCGCCTGAAACCCGCGCGACCTCTGGCACCTGCCAGCGCCTCGTCCTCAGCAGTAAGGCGGGGTGAACCCCCCTGCTCTGGGGCGGGGCGGGGTGGGGGGGGCCTGAACTGGTGCGTGTAGCCAGAGCTGTGCCCGGACACCGGGCCCACTGTGAAGAGCGGCCACAGCGTGCGGACAGGGTCCAGCCGGGGACTGAGAGGGCACCGTCCTCTCGTGGCAAAGCCACGTGCAAGTCCCAGCGTGGAGGGCAGAGCCTCCAGCACAATGACAGCAAAGGCCGAGGTTGTGAGCTTGACCTTATGGTCCGAACCTGTGTTGAGTGATGTGGGCTGCGGGAGGTGCAGCTCTTTTGGAAGTTATGACACCGAAGACCCCTTCCCCTCTGGCCCTCCAGTACGTGTCAGGCCCCTCGTCACTCTCCCCGAAGCATCCTGGGTTCTGACAGCATCGCTGACCTGTGCCCTGCGGCTCCGTGTCTCCCTCTGACACTGCGATGCCTGGCTCACACCGCCCCCTTCCCCCCCGTGCCCATCGCGTCTGGTCTCCGGGCCTCAGTTCCCCCGGTGCCAGGCGGGTGTGTGTCCTCAGGGCCTGGCCAGTGCTCTGATACTGGCAGTGTGCGTGCCGGGCAGGATAAAGGGTGGGCACAGGGGCCACTGGAGAGCTGGCACGGTATTTTTGGACTGAAACCGAGGACTAGGTCTGGCTGCTGGCAGTCTACTGAAAAGCTGCTGGTAACTAAGTGGCGTGTGTGTGTGTGTGTGTGTGTGTGTGTGTGTGGCGGTGCGGGAGGAGGGAGGGACGGGGGCATCCGATGCCTTAGGAGTGGAAAGGAGGTTAGCAGCAGAGGCGCTTACTGTTCCGGGCAGTCCCGGGGGGCCGGCCGGACCAGCTTCACCCTGAGGGAGAAACAGAAAGCACGTGACCGGCCGCCCCACTGACCCCGCCTGTCCCCCCACACCTGGGGCGATGGATGGACGGACAGGCGGACAGACACTCAGATTCCCAATTATAAAATACGCAGACGCATAACACCTTGCGTTTTGAGAAGCCGACAGGATCAACTGATATTTGACCAGAATGGCCTGGAAAAGGAGAGCAGCCCAGATTCTCCGGAAGCCGGAATGGGATTCCACCATGGCCCCCTCGCACCATTTCTGGCTCACACCGTCCCCTCCCCCCCCCCCCCCCCCCCCCCCCTGCCGAGCCCCTCGCACCTGGAGATGAGGTTTCCCTGGAAAACGGCATCTCCGAGCGGCCGGCCGAGGAGCAGCGGGCCCGGCCAACCCTCCCGCCCACACCCTGTCTGTGGACAGCGCCCCCCCTGGGCTGGGGAGCCAGAGAGGAGGGATGGAGGGGAGGGTGAGCACAGGCCCCTCCCTGTGTCACCAGGCAGCCGGCCAGGGCGGGTCAGAGGAGACCTCAGCCTCGCGCAGGTGGGACCAGGTCACAGCCCAGGCCTCCCTCGGGCTCCGGCCCGGGCCTCCCCTCTCCCCATGGAGCTCACACACACAGCAGGGAGGCCCCCACTATGTCCCCGATGCCCGGGCCCCAGGGCCTACCTTGTCGCCCCGGTCGCCTTTCGGTCCCGGGGGGCCCGGGCCGCCCTTCTCTCCCTGCGGCACAGACACAGGAAGCGTGAGCTCGGCTGCAGCACGGCTGCTCCAGCGCGACCAGAGGCCCCAGGGCCACCTCCCCTCTGCTCCCCCTGCTCCGCCCCCACTCTGTCCCCCCATAACCACAGGTGGAGCCGGGAGCATCTGGAGGAGAGTGGGGAGCCCCTGATGGGCTCGTCCCCCAACCCTGACCCTCTTCCAGCGAGACCACCTGCCACTGTCCGGTCCCAGCTCCCCCAGAGGCCTGACCCTTCCTTCCCTGAACCCCAGGACCCCCTCCCAGCCCAGTCACCCCCGCTCCCCGGGGACCGAGACCCAAAGGGGCTGCTCCCCACGGGCGACGGCACAGGAGGGGGCCCCGGGGCGGACACCCCGACACCTACCTGCGGCCCCTTCTCTCCGCTCAGGCCGGGGAACCCGGGGGCTCCGGGGAGGCCCGCCTGGCCCTGCGGAGACACCCGCGTTAGACTCTGGGGGAGGCCCCTCCGGCCAGGCTGGGGCGGGAGCCGCCCTGCTCTCGGCCCCCCAGGCCTCTGGCTTGGGGGTGGAGGAAGAGGAGGGGAGAACTCGTTCCTGGGGTGTCCGAGCCCCCTCCTGGCTGTGTGCTCTCCCTGGAGCCCCGTGTGGCCTGCCTGGTGTCTGCCTCCTCGGACACCGTCACCTCCCCCACCCGCCCCACAATCCCCAAGGCTCCGCGCGGGCCTCTCCTGCCCCCCCACCCCCCGCCGGCACATGCTCACCAAGGCCCCGGCCCGCACGTGGGTGCTAGGGAGCGAATACACCCCTGAAATGGATGGAGCGAGCCCCCCAGATCCCTGAGGCAGCAGCGTGTGTGTGAATGTGTGTGTGTGTCTGTGTGTGTGAGTGTGTGTATCTCTGTGTGTGCCATGTGTCTGTGTGTGTCTGTGTGTATGTGTGTGTGTTTCTGTGTGTGTCTGTGTGTGTGAGAGTGTGTGTGTATCTCTGTGTGTGCCATGTGTCTGTGTGTATGTGTGTGTGTATGTGTGTGTCTGTGTGTGTTTCTGTGTGTGTCTCTGTGTGTGCCATGTGTCTGTGTGTGTCTGTGTATGTTTCTGTGTGTGTCTGTGTGTGTTTCTGTGAGTGTCTCTGTGTGTGCCATGTGTCTGTGTGTGTGTCTGTGTGTGTTTCTGTGTGTGTCTCTGTGTGTGCCATGTGTCTGTGTGTGTGTCTGTGTGTGTATGTGTGTGTCTGTGTGTGTTTCTGTGTGTGTCTCTGTGTGTGCCATGTGTCTGTGTGTGTGTCTGTGTGTGTTTCTGTGTGTGTTTCTGTGTGTGTGACTGTGTGTCTGTGTGTGTCTGTGTGTGTTTCTGTGTGTGAATGTGTGTGTGTGTGTCTGTGTGTGTGTGAGTGTGTGTGTGTATCTCTGTGTGTGCCATGTGTCTGTGTGTGTCTGTGTGTGTTTCTGTGTGTGTGACTGTGTGTGTCTGTGTGTGTCTGTGTGTCTGTGTGTGTGTGAGTGTGTGTGTGTATCTCTGTGTGTGCCATGTGTCTGTGTGTGTGTCTGTGTGTGTATGTGTGTGTGTTTCTGTGTGTGTAAATGTGTGTTTCTGTGTGTGTCTGTGTGTGTTTCTGTGTGTGTGTGTGTATGTGTGTGTGTGTATGTGTCTGTGTGTGTGTGTGTGAGTGTGTGTGTGTGTGCGTGTGTGTGTGTGAGAAGTCCATGGGGCACGGAGGGGAAGTGAACGAGGGAAGGGACGGACCAACACACCTTCTCTCCCGGGGGCCCGGCCAGGCCCTGCTCCCCAACCTCGCCCTGGGGGGAGAGGGAAGACACCCCGTTAACCCACCCCCATTCACAGGGGCCGCCGTGCCCAGGTGCCTGCCCCTCGGCTCCTCCGGTCACGGCCCTTTGTGCTCCAGCACGTCGCACGGTCACGGCCCACGGCCCAGGCTGTGGGAACCGTGGTGTGGCCCGAGTCTGGGGGCAGAGGCGGTTCCACACAGTCTCCTGTCTGGGCACAGGCTCCCCCAGACACAGGTGCATGCACCTCCCACATACACACCACACACAACTCACATACACACCTCACATACACACACCATACACACACCACACATGTACCGTATATACACCACACACACCACACATGCCTCACATACACACCACATACACATCACACATACTCCACACACATGCCATACACACACCACACACACCACACATACATACCACACATATTCCACACGCATATCATACACATACATACCACGCACACCACACACAACTCACATACACATCTCACACAGCACACCACACATGCCCCACATACACACCACACACAACTCACATACACATCTCACATACACATACCACACATGTCCCGTATATACACCACACATACCACATACACCCCACACACGCACACACTCGCTCACTGCGTGCCGGCCGGCCTCGGCGCAGCGGAGGGACAGCAGGTCCGGGGTGGGGGCAGGGACCCAGAGGGGGGCCCCCAGCCACGGGTCCTCTTGCTCCTCCGTCCCAGAGGGGCTGTCGCCATCCCGGCCGCAGCCCCTTCCCACTGGCCCGACTCCGTTCCGTCAGGAGAGGCCACGGCCGCCCCCACTCCACCCAGAACCACAAAGCGGGGGAGTCCTACCGGCAGGCCCGGCTTCCCCGGCAGGCCGTCCGCCCCGCGGTCTCCGGGCTGTCCCTGCGAGGAGAGCCGGTCAGGTCCACAGGGGGGCGGGCAGGCACGGGGGGGGGGGGGGAGGGGGAGGAAGGAGACAGGCACAGGGGGCGGGCACAGTGAGGGGGCCCAGGGGCGGGCACAGGGGGTCCAGGTGGGTGAGGGAGACCCCTGCTCAGGGGGGTTCGCTGTCACTCTGCGCGACCGCTTGGCCCCGCCACCAACTGCAGCTCACCCACCCCTGGCTCCTACGGGACCTGCCTCCTCCTCTGACGTATTATCAAACACCAGCGGCTGGTGCACAGAGTCCTGCACGGCTGGGGTCTCAGTAGCTGTTCGCCTGGGAACCCCAACCATCAGGAACGGTGCCCTTCACCTACTCTCTGCCCTCTGGGGCCCCCGAGCCCTCGCCGCCCCGAGAACACCTACCTTGGGCCCTGGCAGGCCGGGGGGTCCGGGCAGCCCGTCCTTCCCAGGTGGCCCCTGAGCAGAGAGGGAGACGGGAATGAGACGGGGAGCTGCCTGCGCCCCGGGCCTCCGCAGCGAGGCTGCTGGTCTGCGGGCTGGTCCTCCCGGGCCCTCGTCCCCACGGAGACCATCGGCCTCCCCTCCCAGGGCCCCCGGAGAGCAGCCAGTGGAGCCGGCTCCCTGAGGGCCACCGTCAGCTCTAGGATGGCCCATGGCCCATGGCCTGCCACAAGGTGACAGCCCACGGCCACACGCCCTTCCACCCCGGGCGCTCCCGGCAGCGGACGGCAACATGCCCTCCTTGCTCACTCACCCACCCACCCAGCCACCCACCCACAAGGTGCACAGACACCTGCTGAGCTGGGCCTCCGGAAATGAAAAGGCCCTGATTCCCCGACCCCTCCACCCGGGAACAGGAGGAGGAAGAGGGGGAGGAGGAGGAGAAGGAGGAGGAGGAGGGGGAGGAGGAGGAGGGGGAGGAGGAGGAGGGGGAGGAGGGGGAGGGGGAGGAGGGGGAGGAGGGAGAGGAGGGGGACGGGGAGAAGGAGGAGGAGGAGAAGGAGGAGAAGGGGGAGGAGGAAGAGGGGGAGGAGGGGGAGGAAGGGGAGGAGGGGGAGGGGAAGGAGGAGGAGGGGGAGGAGGGGGAGGAGGGGGAGGAGGAGGAGGAAAAAGGGAAGGAGAAAAAGGGGGAGGAGGGGGAGGAGGGAGAGGTGGGGGAATGCTCAGGATGGGCCATTTCTCCTCCCTCTGCCCATCACGCCTGTGGCCCCTGCTGGCGTCCCTCGGAGACAGGCACACGTTAAACAGCCGGGGACTCTGGGGTAGCCTGTAGGTACGAGGGCGGAGGGTGGGGGCAGGGGAGAGGGTGTCCCTCCGTCCCCCACAGGGCCGTGGGGGCAGGCCAGGGGACAGAGCCCGTGGAGAAGCCACAGCGGGAGGGAGTCGGGCTGAGCACTGTTGGGAGGGAAGGCCCAGGGCAGCCCAGCTCCAGGCTGGGGCCGGGTCCTGGCACAGAGGGGACAGGAGAGGGGCGGGGGGGCGGGGGGGGGGGCCGCTTACCGCCGGCCCGGGGTGCCCAGGTTTTCCCGGGAAGCCGATCTCTCCGGGCAAACCCTGGAAGGAACCACAGGGGACTCAGTGTGACCTCAGACCCCTCTGCCCCCTCCCGCCGGCCCGGCCTCTGCAGTGAGGAGGGGGCGGGGGGGGGCAGGGGGCTCCACTCAGGCCTCGCGGCGCTCAGAGCAGGCCGCCGTGAGCGTGAGCGTGAGCAGCCCCTCCTGCAGCGGGTAGTCTGCGCTGGGCCAGTCCTGCCTCCCGAGCGGGGGCGAGGGGCAGGCAGGGGAACCACCCAGAGCTGTGTTTCCCAAAGTGCGGTACGCACACCCCCAGGGGCACGGGAAGAGTCTGGTGGGGATATGCACTGCACCGTGCTTAGCTGCGCCCAATTCTACGTTCTCGTGAGTACGAGGGGTACTCAGCGTTACGAAAATTATAGAAGGGATACACATATGTCAAAAGTTTGGGAAACACTGACCTAGAGGATCCCGCCAATGCCTGCTGGGTCCACCCATCGGGGTCTCCCCCCGTCCACGGCCACGTCCCCGGCTGACCCTGATGCAGGGGGGGCGGGGGGAGAGGGGGCAAACGCCACCCCTGGCGCTCCTGAGCGTGGGAGCCGCACCGCACCCGCTAGACGACCCCCAAAGGACCCCCAGCCCAGCGGCCTCCTCTGCAGTGTCGCTCAGCAGCCAGCCAACACGGAGCGTGAGCTCAATGGTTTGTCTCCTGAGAGGCTCAGGGCGGGGCAGCGAGAGGCGGGGCCCGCAGGCGGGTCCCCCGTGGGTGTGGCCACCTGTGAAGATGCCCCAGGCACCCACGACCACAGCACCCCCACCTCAGTGCCCGGTGAGAGGGCACCAGAGCCAGCTTACCGAGGGGCCTCCAGGGCCAGGGGGGCCGGGGACACCAGGTGGTCCGGGGGGGCCCTGTGGAGAGGGGGTGAGGAAGGAGGGGTGAGGGGTGCGGGCAGCAGCCCCTGAGACGCTGTCCTGCCCTGTGAGAGGACATGGGTCACAGGGTGACGGTGAGCTTCAGCCTTCCCTGCCAGGTCTTGTGTTTGAAGCAACACAGAAAAGCCAAAAAGAAAATCTCAGAAGTAAAGCGTATAACATGCTAGCATGTCCTCTTGGGGAACACACCTGTACGTGGTGTATCCTGCCATATCGCTGAGCTACTGGGCATTTAAAATACATACACATGCTCTGCCTGTGTGAGCACACACACACACACGTGGGGCCCAGACACGACCGGCATGGAGTCAGCCAGGGAGCGCGGGGCCCGATGGATCGCAGCCCACGCCGTCCTGGGGGGCGACCTCCGGCCTCAGGCGGCTCAGCATCCTCTCCAGGTGCTCCCCCCTTCTCCAGTCCCCCCTTCTCCAGTGTCTCCACCCTGAAATCCTCTCCGTTCCCCAGGAGGAAGGCATCGCGCCCTCCACCGAGCTCAAGGCCAGCGAACTGGGTGCCTCTGACCACGTGCCCTCGGGCGCAGGGGCCCTCCTGTTCCCTGAGCACCCCATCTCACAGGGACAGGCCCAGGGTGCTGCAGGGAGAGGCGGGCAGGGTGAGAAGGAGGCCCCGGGCTCACAGAGAGCTACAGGGGAGCGGTGTCATGTCCCCACTAGAGGGCACTGGGCACTTACAAATGGCCACTTGAGCGTTGGACGTAAAGATGATGAATTAGGTGGTTTGAACCAAGACTATTGGACTATTAACACCGTTGTTCGGGCTAGCCATGATCGCATAGAGATGAGAGAATCTGGCTGAAGGGAGTCCAATGCCGGGTCACCCCATGCGACCAGAACGGACTTGGGCAAGGTCATCACTGCCCAGCGCCCCGGTCTCCCCTCCCACACACACACACACACACACACACACACACACACCGCACACACAGCAGGTGGGAGGCCCCTTCGCCGTCACTGAGGTGCGATTCCCGGGGGCCGCGGCCTCGCCCAGGACCCGGGCTGCTTCGCCCGTGTGGCTGCCCTCTCCCTGCTATCGATCAGCCTGTCTAAGCCCACCTAATCTCAGTATCAGCGAGGGAGACAGATTAGCCAATAGACCCGAATGCTAACAGCGAAGTAATGGCTCTTTTAATTATCACTAATGAACGCCGACAGCGGTGCTCCCTGCTCGTCAGCCGCAGCCCGATCACCGGGCAGCGGTATCCGATCTTCCTGCGGCGACAGCGCCCACAGCCGGCGGACGCGATTAGCACGGAGAGTGATGATGCATGATCGGCCGATTAACCGAATTGCCGTCGATAAGCCAATGGCAAGCAGCGACTCCTGTGAGCCAGCTGGTTCTGGCTGGAGCCGGTAAGGAGCTGGGGGGAATCTGGAGGCGCAGGGACGAGGTGCGTAAATCCGTGGTGTGGAAACGTCTGCCGGCTGGGGGAGCTGGTCACGCTCTGCCAGGCCTCCCCTCGCAGGGTGACCCCTGAGCCCGCCCACGAGGGCTGCCCATCCCACAGGCCTGCAGGCCCACCTGCCATGGCGCCCGCCCCTCGCCTGGCTGCGTCCCCATGGATTCCAGGGGCTCTGCCAGGCAGCACTGCCTCTGCAAACACCTGACCAGACTGGACTCTGTGTCCCCTCTCCCTAAGCGGCCACCTAGAGACAGGAGCGGCCTCCTGCGGCATCATGGACGTGTTCCTTTACGCAAAGCTCCTGCCCGGCCGGCGGCTCAGGGCGTGAGCATCGGCCCAGGACCCAGGAGGTCAGGGTTCGACTCCTGTCAGGGCACGTGTCTAGGTTGCAGGCTCAACCCCCAGTAGGGGGCGTGCAGAAGGATGCTGATCAATGATGCTTCTAACTCTCCCTCTCCTTGCTCTCCAAAAACCAATAAAAACATATTTAATATACAAACAAACAAACACACATCCTGGCAGTGAAGTTTCTCATTTTCAAAAAGAGGCACCAAACCGCCGCCTAGGCCCCGGCTGCCGCCGGGCGTCCTGCAGGGCCGGGCTGCGCGGGCGTCCGGCTGCACAGGCAGCTAACGGGCCCTGCGCTCGGCTCCTTCAGGTGCTGAGTGGGACGAGCATTCTTTCCTCACGGTGCCACCAAGAGCACACACAACTGCACGTGACCGGTAACAGCGGGGTCCGACCGCAGCAGAAACACGTGACCGGTAACGGGAGTCCGACCACAGCAGAAACACGTGACCGGTAACAGGGGGGTCCGACCACAGCAGAGACACGTGACCGGTAACAGGGGGGTCCGACCACAGCAGAAACACGTGACCGGTAACAGGGGGGTCCGACCACAGCAGAGACACGTGACCGGTAACAGGGGGGTCCGACCACAGCAGAGACACGTGACCGGTAACAGCGGGGTCCGACCGCAGCAGAGACACGTGAACGGTAACAGCGGGGTCTGAGCACAGCAGAGACACGTGACCGGTAACAGCGGGGTCTGAGCACAGCAGAGACACGTGACCGGTAACAGCGGGGTCTGAGCACAGCAGAGACACGTGACCGGTAACAGGGGGGTCCGACCACAGCAGAGACACGTGACCGGTAACAGCGGGGTCCGACCGCAGCAGAGACACGTGACCGGTAACAGCGGGGTCTGACCGCAGCAGAGACACGTAACCGGTAACAGCGGGGTCTGAGCACAGCAGAGGCACGTGAACGGTAACAGCGGGGTCTGAGCACAGCAGAGACACGTGACCGGTAACAGCGGGGTCCGACCGCAGCAGAAACACGTGACCGGTAACAGCGGGGTCTGAGCACAGCAGAGACACGTGACCGGTAACAGGGGGGTCCGACCACAGCAGAGACACGTGACCGGTAACAGCGGGGTCCGACCGCAGCAGAGACACGTGAACGGTAACAGCGGGGTCTGAGCACAGCAGAGGCACGTGAACGGTAACAGCGGGGTCTGAGCACAGCAGAGACACGTGACCGGTAACAGCGGGGTCTGAGCACAGCAGAGACACGTGACCGGTAACAGGGGGGTCCGACCACAGCAGAGACACGTGACCGGTAACAGCGGGGTCCGACCGCAGCAGAGACACGTGACCGGTAACAGGGGGGTCCGACCACAGCAGAGACACGTGACCGGTAACAGCGGGGTCCGACCGCAGCAGAAACACGTGACCGGTAACAGCGGGGTCTGAGCACAGCAGAGACACGTGACCGGTAACAGAGGGGTCTGAGCACAGCAGAGACACGTGACCGGTAACAGCGGGGTCTGACCGCAGCAGAGACACGTGACCGGTAACAGCGGGGTCTGAGCACAGCAGAGGCACGTGAACGGTAACAGCGGGGTCTGAGCACAGCAGAGACACGTGACCGGTAACAGCGGGGTCTGAGCGCAGCAGAGACACGTGACCGGTAACAGCGGGGTCCGACCGCAGCAGAGACACGTGCCTCCCTCCCCTCTTCCCGTCAGAGCAGAAACTGTCCCTGAGGTTCAGCCCCTCCCGCCGCCACCTGACCAGCCACAGGCTGCGCGGTGGACCCTGATCCCGCGCCCCTCCCCCGATGCCACTGTTCCCCCTCCTCCTGGCACTGCCACCCCTGATCTGCCCTCCTCGGCACCAAAATTTCTCCAGGACAGCGACAGCGGGCGCTCCCCCAGCCCAGGAGCCGGAAGACAGGACGGAGGGCACAGGCCCCCTGACATCCTCTCAGTGCTCCGAGGACAGCTACCCCGATCCTGGTGCCCCCACCCCCCCCAGTGCTGCCTGGTCAGTCAGCCCCTAGAACAGAGCAGTGTTTCCACAGAGAAGGCGGGGTGGGGGGTACCTGTGGTCCCAGCGGTCCAGGCGGTCCCGGGACGCCCACTTCGCCTTTCCTGCCCTGAGTGCAGAAAGAGAGCAGCGTTAGCGGCGGCGGGCGAGGGCCGAGGCCGTGTCTCCGAGGACACGGGGCTCGGTTTCTCGGTGGCGATGACTGGGCAGGGCCCTGCAGGCCTGAGAGACGTGGCAAGGGTTCGAGGGGTGGGGGCCGGCTCCAGCTGCGGGCAGCGAGGCCCAGCGTTGGGGCCCAGCTCTGCTCCTGGGAGGATTCTGCTCACACGTGGCCCCAAAGGACCAGACAGAGGCCCCCGCCATCACCATCATCACCATCACCCTGGGCACAACCTCCCCATCTGTTCCTGTGCTCAGCCGCCAGCTCCTCCCTGGAAGGCGGCTCCTCCCACCAGGGGGACACTCCTGGGCTCCAGGCCATGCATCCCGCCAAACTCAGAGCCAAACTGCCAGGGCCTCGGCCCTCCTTCCGTGGCCGCCGGCTCCCCGCCGCCCATCCTGTGCTGCTCCCTCACGCCCACCCGGCCCCCCTCCCGCCCCTGAACACGCCCCCACGCTCCACCCCCAGGCCTTTCCTGGGCAGCTCGGCCGCCGTCCGGAGGAAGGACAGTGTCAGGTCTGTGTGACCACCCTCTCCCCCAAGAATGGCATCATCGCTCAGGGCTCCCCTAGGAGGGCACCCCCGGCCGGCCCAGCACCTGGCCACGCCGAGGGGCACGCCCCGCTCACACCAGTCCTTCCCCTCCAGGCGATTCGGGCCGACCCCTGCCAGCAGGTGAGTCTTCCCGAAGGATAAAAGAAACTCATCGCCGTCCCCCTCCAGCACAGCCAGCACTCCTCCTCCTCACGTGACGGACAGGGCCTCTGGGCCGCTCGATGGGACCGGCCACACGCTGTGGTTCTGGCACCTTCTGTGCCCGGTGCCCAAACTCTGGTCCCTGAACAACAGCTGCAGTGGCTCAGACGGGCCTTCAAGACTCCCTCAGGACTCCTGGCCTCTGCGGGGCGGCCCACACGGCTGCCTCTGCCCGTCGCCCCTTCGCTCCGCCTCGGCTTGTCCAAGTCCCGTCCCAGGCCAGCGCCACCTCCCCCAGGAGGCCCCAGCAATCCGGAGGAATCGTGGCAACGCAGGACAGCAGGTGCCTGAGACGTACACTCCCCAGGGCTTCGAGTTCCGCCCACCAGGACGGGGCAGGGGCACTCAGTGAGCTTAGGGCGCCCTGGCTGCTCGCTGCGCCCATGGCCTTGCCCCCAGCCCTTGCCTCCGCAGCCCTGGAAGAAAGGAGTGCCAAGTCCAAGGCAGACGGGGCAGGCGAGCCACTCAGCTCGCAGAGTCTTGGTTTCCTCAGGTGGAGAACTATAACCCTGTGGCCATCTGAGGAGACAGCAGTGGGGGAAATGACTCAGTGTTTAAGGAAGCGGTTTATGGAGCATAAGGAGGCGCCATGCAAATGCACCAGGTAAGTGTGAGGAGGAGGAAGATGGTGGTGACAGTAAAGAGAAGAAAACAGCCAGGATGCTGGCTCCTTTGAGTCCCAATAGCGGGTGAGACCATGGGTCACACAGATCCTCGCGATGCTGTGGAAGCTAAATGAGACAGTGCTCACAGGTGCTGAGCACAGGCCCTGATGTTAGGTGGTGATGGTGATAGTGATGGTGATGGTGCAGGTGATGGTGGTGATGGTGATGGTGAAGGTTATGGTGATGGTGGAGGTGATGGTGATGGTGGAGGTGATGGTGGTGATGGTGGTGGTGTTGATGGACATGGAGGTGATGGTGGAGGTGATGGTGGTGGTGTTGGTGGTGATGGTGGAGGTGGTGGTGGTGGTGAGGAAGGTGGCTCTAGTAATGGATGTAGCAGTACTTACGTAACCTCTGCATTTTGGATAGAAAATTAAGGATTTGAGAAGTGCTGGCCAGAGCAAGTTTTGAAGCAATAAAGAACTATTTCACTAACAATAAGCCTTTTTCTTGTCATTTTTTCCCCTTCTTCTCTTTTAAATTGCTGCCAGCACAGCATCTGGGCAAGTGTTTGTCATTTATCACGAGGGCAGACAATTCAAGCCGCTCCGGACGCCGGGCGCTGACAGGGACTGATGTCTCCGAAGCTGCCGGCCGGCCGGGGGAGGAGGGAGCCGGACATTCAGAGTCGGCTCCTCCCGGCCAGGGCGTCAGCAGAGCGCCGAGGGGCCGGCAGCAGATGCGAGGATTGCTGTGCAAGGGGTTCTGACCTGCGCCGTCTGGTCTCTCGCTCGGCTCCCGTTCCCCTCGCCACTAAGTGTCAAACCTGATTATTTCTGCGGGTGAGAGCCGCCCAGGTGCTGTCCTCGCGTACACCCTGCCCCGCCCCGCGCAATGGGTCCCACAGCCGCCCTGATCCGAACGGCGCAGGCACCATCTGGCAGCGCAGGCTAAAAGCCTTAAAAACTGCAAAGTAAAGCAAGCGGAACCCAGGCTGCCGCTGACCGAAGGCCGCTCATTTCTCTCCTGGGGGTCAGGGTGATGGGCCCCAAGATTCCAGGACAGGGGACCCCGCTCCCAGGGTGGCCGCCCGAGGAGAACGCCGTGGTGCTCAATCTGTCTACGGGACAGGCACTGTCAGAGCTGAGGGCCCCTCGCTCTCCCAGGCCCCGCTGCAGGGACTCAGCATCCAGTTCAGAACTAACGCTGCTGTCACCTAAACACATACACACACACACACACACACACGCACACGCACACGCACACACTCACACATACACACCATCCTCGCGCACACACACACACATGCGCGCACACACATGCACACACTCACACATGCACACACTCACACATGCACACGGACACACCACCCTCACGCAGCACAGAGGAGGGAGGAGCCAGGCAGGCAGAGCGCTAACCCTCGCCCCGCCATCGATCGCCTGGGTGACAGGTGATCTGATCCACACCTTAGGGCCCTGGTTTCTCACGTGCGGAAGGAGAGTGAAGTGCCGCCTTCCTAAGGGCCTGGTGAGAACGAAGCGAGGAACCTGCCTGCGGACAGCTCCCTCCCTGAGCCAGATCGGCCGCTCGCTCGTCTCCTCTCTGCCCACGGCGAGCAGAGCTGCTCTCTGAGGGATACGCCCTGAAGGAGCTGGCAGGACCAGGCACCAGGAGACACTGGGGGCCACTATGGCTGGGAGGAGGGACAGTCGTCCTTCTCGCCTCCAGGATGTGGGGAGTGAGCCAAGGGGCCGAGGGATTGCCCCTGGCTTGTGGGCCGAGCAGAGATGGCGGCCTGTGTGGCCGGGGCGGGAGGGCTGCGTCATCTTTCGGACGTGACTTTCCATCTCCGAATCCCGTCCCCCAGGCGGTCCTGAGGCTGAGCACCCACATTTTACAGGAAGTTCAAAGGCCTGACGGCAGAACTCTCTTCAACACAGATGTGAGGTTTTTCTCTTTTTTGGACATTGAAGAGGAAAGAGGAGATCCAGGCGGGCTGAGGTGGGACTCAGCACCACAGAGCAAGGTCAAGGCAAAATGAAAGAAAGGCACAGAAGGGACCACGTGGTCTCTACAACTGGACATTCCGTGGGGGAGGCCGGAGCCTGGGTGGCCGGGGGCCGGTCCTGGCTCTGTCTCCCGCCACCCGCGTGTCCCCGCCTGGGAGCGGAATGGGGGCCGCACCCTCGCACACTGATTGTGTCCAATGCTCATAAACGCGTTAGCTGTTTGGGCACCTTCCCCCGGGCGGTGTGTGTGAGCACTCTGTGAGAACAAGAGGTAGTCGCGTGGTCAGCGTGAGGCCCTCTTCCACGTCCTGCAGACACAGGGTCCTTCAGGGGCTCTGCCCGAGGCTCGGGGTCCCCACTGCCTGGCCCAGGACGGGTACACCGCCAGCCTCTGCCTGCTCAGGGTCACCCCCTTTCTCATCGGCCCCATGGTCATCTCCTCAAGGGCCTTTCCCCTGTGGCCTGTCCACCCCACGGGGGCCACATGGAGTGTAACCCAAATCCCACAGCACCCAGACCGAACTGCACCCAGAAATGCACGAGACAGTCAGGGAGAGTCAGGACACGGGAGGAGGCGGGGCTGTGGTTCTGCTGCTTTTCTCTTCGCTCTACCATCACCCCTTCCAAGTGGCCTTGGCGGGCGGCTCCCGGGTGGGGTTTTGAGAAAACCCTTCTGTCTCCGTTCTCCTGAGTCGGCGGGAGCAGTGCCCACTGCCTCTCCTGCCAGGGCTCTGACCACTCACAGGTGTGAGCTGCAATGGCCATGACTCAGGGCAGACCCCACGCTCACCGCCATCTCCCCAGACCCGGCTCAATGCTGGGCACACCTCCTCCAGGTGAGCTGCTACATGGGGGACAGATGGGGGAGCCGGGGCGGAAAGGAAAAGTGTACTTACCCGGAGACCTTGCAGGCCCGGGGGTCCAGCCTGGCCTTCTGGGCCCGTCAGACCCTTGGGGAGGGAGAAAGAAACAAATGAGATCGCGGTGACTGCAGGCTCCACAGCTCGGGCACCCCTCAGCTGCACATTCCCTGGGCAGGGAAATACTGTCCTGCCGACCGGGAAGCGGGGGGCGGTCGGGAAAAACGCGCTGTTCCCTCAAATCTAAAACGGAACCACCTGCTCCCACCTCATCTCATCAAGTGTGCTCACAACCAGGAGGAGTCCAGGCGTTGGAGAGGAGGAGTAAGAAGGATCAGTGCCCTGCGTTAGTGCTCTGTGTGGCCTGTGCGAGAGAGGAGGCCTCGGGGCCCCCGCTGGCTCAGCCCTGCGCCCCTGCTCGCTCCCCTGGCCCAGAAGGACTGGCCGGGGGTGCCTGACTCTGTCAACAGCGACGCGCAGTGCAGGGCAGTCTGCGCCAACGAGACTGGGCACGGAAGATGATTTCAAGTTAGCAAGGAGCCGCGGTGCAGGACGAGGCCGTAGACGCCTTGCTCCAATGCTGTGGGACCCCGTGTGTCCTGCGGAGCCGGTTCTGTCAGCAGCTTGGAGCCTGGAGGCCCTTCAGGACCCTGGACAGCTCCGCGGGGCTGGTGGCCTGAGGCGCCAGGCCTGCCCCTGCTCCCTGCACCAGGGTCTGTAGGAAGATGCAGCAGAACCTGCAGGGTGAGCACAGCCACGTCTTCACCTCTCCTCCCCTCCGCCATGAGTCCGGGCGGTGACTGTTCGCCCGCGTCCCCAGCTTCACATTCTGTGTAGACGCTCAGTGCTGGCCAGTGACGGGTCAGAAACACACGTGCCCAGAGCTAACGATTGAGCGACAGGAAGCAGGTGGCCACACGGGCGTGACGTTTCCTCCTCTTCTCCCTCCTCACTGGTCGTCACAAAATCTGCACACGGGAGGGGGGGCCACCTGCTGGGACACCCCAGGCCGCAGAGGAGTGAGGGGCGAAGAAGGCTGCCGCGTGATGAAGCCTCGCTAGCTCCTCGCTCTAACGGTTGGGCAGGCATCGCCATGGCGGCGACGGCAGTGGCGGCGGAGAGACGAGGCGCCTACGGTGACGGCCCCGGGAGGCAGCTCTTCCCACGGCAGGGCTACGACGCTGCAGGAATGGAACATCCACGCTGCTTCTGTTTCCCCGCAGCGAAGCACGCACATCCATCCTGAGAGGAAGGGGCCTGGCGGGGTGCTGAGGAGGGAGAACCGTCCGTCTCCTGCAACAGAGCCCGTCGCTCCGCAGGACGCCGCACGCTCCCGGGGGCACGGGGTCGCCGGCTTGGCATCCGTGTTCTCATCAGTCATCGAGCATCTGCCCTCAGCACTCCGGCCGCCCAATCCCTGCCAGCGGCCCTCGGGACAGTTACCCACACATCACGTCCTCACAGGGAGGAGCGGGGCTGGGCCGTCAGCGCCACGGCGACGCCCGTCCGTCAGCTCCGGGAGGGGCGGCGTGCACTGGGCGCGGTTTGACTGGCAGGACGCGCGAATGCTCTCATGCCCGTTGTCTGAAGGGAACGTAACACCAGAGCGAACCCCGGACCCCAGCCCAGGCCTGTCTGGGGCAGGGGCTCTGCCGGCAGGCGGCGGGCTGCACACACTGGGACCTGCCTCAGTGTCCTCCTGGGCGATGCCTGAGCTTCGGGAACAATGGGCTGCTGGGTAATGGCAAGGCCTGCTGCTTTCCAGACCTACTTTGTGCAGCGCAGACCTGGGCTGGGACCGTGACTTACCGGGGCTCCTGGAGGCCCAGGGGGGCCCTGGTGACCCCGTGGTCCTGGAGCTCCCTGTAACCCAAGCAAACACACATTAGCCACGACTCCCCTCAGCAGGCTCAGGCTTCATTCACAAGTTCCCAGCGGGGACCCAGGCACAGGGGGGCGTCTGCGTTCCCAGCAGCACATTCATCCGACGGCTGTGCCCTTCTGTCTGCTCCCACCTGCAGCCCTCCTGGAGGACTACCTCTCCTTCACCTCCTCCTCCTCCTCCACCTCCTCCACCTCCTCCACCTCCTCCTACTCTTTCACCTGCTCCTCCTCCTCCTCCACCTCCTCCACCTGCCCCACCTCCTTCTCCACCTCCTCTACCTCCTCCACCTGTTCTTCCACCACCTGCTCCTCCTCCACCTCCTTCACCTCCTCCACCTCCTCCCCTGCTCCCTCCTGCAGCCCACCTGAAGGACCCACGTCGCTTACCTGCTCGCCCTTCAGGCCCTCTCTCTGCACCTGCGGGGACAAACAGGCGTCAGCAAAGGCGGCAGTGTGTTCTCCATGGAGCTCTGGCTGCACTCGGGCACGCGCACCGCAGGGCCGGCCGGAGGCAGCCATTGCTGACTTTCCGTGGGCTTGGCCCATCTCAGTGGGGAAAGCGTGATGTGCAGCTTCCACTTTCCAGGGCTCCACCGCCGAGGAGCAGGGCTCCCCCAATGACACGCTCTATCAGCCCGGCTGCCAGCTCTCCAGCCGCCAGGACGGTCCCACTTACCACGGAGCCCGGGACGCCAGGCGGTCCTGCCGGCCCCACGTCGCCCTGCGGGGAGATGACAGACATTTCACCGGAGGGCAGGCCAGCCACCTCTGCCCTGCCCCCCCTCCTCCGAGGCCCAGCACATCCCCGTATGTCCATGGGTGCTTCCTGCTCTGCACCACCACGCACGGCCCTCACGCTGTCCCCTCCTGCCGAGACACACTCCCATGGAGGAGACCGGCGTCTGTGGCCACGCCCAGGCCACCACCTTCTGCTGCAGAGCGGCCCTGCCCATGGCCAGGGGGGCCCTGCAGTGCCGGGCGCCGGGTCAGACCGTAGCCGGGCGTCTCTGCTGCAGCCCGAGTGGTCAGAGGGTCCATCAGAGAGTGACTGGCCGAGTGCTGTGCACTCCCTCCTGCTTCCACCCGGAGGAGGCCTGAGCCTGGGCCTGTCCCTCCCGTTACCGCCGGCCACAGAGCGACGGGGACGGGGACGGGTCAGATGCCCAGCCTGAGGGCCACACCCGGGCTCTACGTAGGCACCACCTGTCAGTTGTGGCCACAGGCACGCCCTCGTGGCTGGTGTCACTCCGTGGTGAGAGTGTCGGCCTGTGCACCAAAGGGCTGCAGGTTCGATGCCCGGCCCAGGTCAGGGCTGGTACAGGGGACACCTATTCCATGGGCCTCTCACATCAGTGTTTCTCTCTCTCTCTCGGGGAGGCCCAACTAGCGCCACGGGCCACACACGGTCGTCCCCAGGACATCACGCGAGGCGGAACGGCCAGGAAGAGAGAACCCTATGACCTCACTCCCACGAGGGACGTGAACCGGAACCTCGGAGCACGTCAGCCGAGCAGCGGCTGCCAGAGGAAGGGGCGGTGGAGAGCGGGGTCCTAACACGTGGGCGGGAGAAGGGGGGACTCTGGGTGCTGGGCACACGGTGCCGCCACAGGTCTGTCACCCAGAAACCCACCCTGAAACCTGCGTGACCCCATTCACCAACGTCGCCCAGTAAATCTGATTCTAGAAATCCATAGATGAGGTGCAAGTTCCGAATTTAATATAATCTCCTCTCTCTTCCTCTCCCCGCCACTCTCTCTCCCCTCCTCTCCCCCCTCCCTTTCTCAGGAAAGAGTCGACATCAGATCCAAACGCCAATGATCCTTCCTTCTTAGTGACTTGAAATAAACTGCGTGCTTATTTTAGGATTTAGCATCTTGCCACGGAACTGCAGGGAAAGTTTAGAATCCTGACACGGGGATCATATAACAGGCAAACGTCACCCTAAAAATGCTCAGAGGGAGAGCGAGCCATGAGCTCCGCTCCCATCGCAGCCAAGGAGGGGGCTGGGCAGGCTCTGTGCTCCCTGAGCCCGCGCAGCCCGGGGGCCTGTGTGTTTCCTTCCGCCGCACACCCTCCCGCCTCCTCCCGCTGGGCAGCTCCCCCGTCTGCCTTTGCAGGGGACGCTGGGAGCCAGCCCAGGTCAGCCAGCCTCCTACACCGGAGCTCAGGGACCCGAGAGGACAGATGCACCGCGGCCACACGCATCGCGGTTCACTGGTTCCTCCCGCCTGCCCGCCCTCCCTCTCCCCAGCTCTCCTCCAGCTCAGCTCACCGGGTGTCCTTCCAGACGGCCAGTCCAGAGCCTGGCCGTCAGGGGCAGGGCTGTGCCTCGTCACCCCTCCTGTCACCCAGAACACACCCTCCCCATTGCCGGACGCTTAGGAAGGCCATGCTCCTCACGGTCATTCTGTGGCACCCCCAGATCTGCGGGGAACTCTCACACACTGTGTCCAGCCGGGACACAGGGACTCCACACAGGCATTAACTGAGCTAAGCCTGTAGGGACCGGTTCTGAGACAGGTGGCCAGCCCGCCCAGCGTGGCTCAGGGGTTGAGCATCGACCTATGAACCAGGAGGTCACGGTTCGAGTCCCATCAGGGCACAGGCCCGGGTTGCAGGCTCGATCCCTAGTCAGGGTGCGTGCAGGGGGCAGCCGATTCATGATTCTCTCTCATCATTGATGTTTCTCTCTCTATCTCCCTCTTCCTTCCTCTCCAAAATCAATAAACATATATTTTTTTAAAAAAATAATAGAATAAAATAGATGACCAGTATAGCGAGAGAGATACCCTTTGCTCAGTTTATCAGGGATCCAGCCCATTTTCAGAAATGTTTAACCTGGTTACAAAAAAAAAAAAAAAAAAAAAAGTAAAAATCTTGTTAAACATGGCAGAGGGGAGAGGAAGAGGAAAAGGAGTAAGGCATTTTGGTTATTGATTCCTACCCTGCCTCAGTCCAAAAGCAATGTAAGTCACGTGATATTCTACTGTGTCTGAATAGAATAGGAACCGATTAAAGTTTTATTCCTACGAGTAGGCAAACAGGAAGTAAGTGACCAGAAATGACCTGCTGGCTGAGGCCCTGAGGCCAGCGCAGGCCAGTGTGGCCTTAGCCCAGGAGCCCAGCCTGTCCCCCGCTCCCCCCCTCGCCCCAGGACTGATCCCTGCAGACGGGCAGCTCACGCCTGGTCAGTCCAGAGCTCGGACCACCTCGCACCCGGGCCCGGCTTACCTTCTCTCCAGGGGGCCCGGCCGTGCCGGGAGGGCCAGGTGCTCCCTGGGGGGAGAGGGGACACTGTAATACCGTCCACAATAAAACACACACACACGTTCACGAAGCGGCCACAGCACTCAGAGCACGTGCACTCCTCCGTGACCGTTACACGCATGGGCACACGCCCGTCGCTGAGTGAGGGTGGGCTCACGGTTCCGTGTTCTCCGGGTGCCTCCCCCGGCTGCCGGGCGGGTGCTGCTGGGCTGGTCACCGGGCCTGAGCCCTCCCCGCTGAGTGGCACGGAGGTCGAGGCCCCAGCGGACAGCGCGCCAGCCCCAGCCCACCCCGTCCCCCCACAAAGCCCACCCCCGCGGGCGCCAACGCCACCTACCTGCTCCCCCGCCAGCCCCGGCTTCCCTGGGAAGCCGTCCAGGCCGCGCTCGCCCTGCGGACGGAAGGAAACGGAGAGAAGGCCACGGTCAGGGTCACGGAGAGGCACACAGGGGCCGAGGGCCCGACTGGACGGGCTCCACCCTCCCCCGGGGTCCCTCAAAGTCCCATGTGGGTGGGTTTTCCCGCCTCAGGTATTCAGGTCTCAGGCCCTCCTGCTGGGCCCACAGGCTGCAGTTCTGAGGCTCTGTCAACAGAGGGCGCGCGCACCCCACTCAAAGCCAAACCTCGAGCCTGCCTTGGGGGCTGAAGTCTTGGCAATTCTGGATTCTGGGTGTTGCTACACACATGTCACAGGGGAGGGTGTGTGGTGTGTTTCCTCCTCCACGCTGCTTGCTCCAAAAAGGTTTCCGGCGAGGATCTAGACTGTTCTCAGAGCCCACGGCCGGGCCTCTGACAGCGGGAACCAGGGGGTGCCGAGGAGGGCCTCGGTCCCCGGAGTGAGTGCTGGAGCCAGACCTGCCCCAGGCTGAGCCAGCAGGCCCGGCTGCCGCTCCTCCCACTCCTCCCTGCTCTCTGTCTGTCTGTCTGTCCGTGTTGTAAACACATGTCATGTGCTGCCCACAGGATTTTATAAGTGTTCACGCTCCCGCTGCTCAGAGCAGCCTTCCGTGTCGATGTCCTCTGAGCTGCGGGGGAGTCTGACACGCAGAGTCTGACACGCAGAGGGTCACAGCCCTCCAGGAGCCTCGCTGGGATCCCCGCTCTGGCCCCCAGGCAGGCAGGGCCCACGTCACTGGGCAGGAGGCCATGGGCCCGTCCCACTCCCTCTCCCAGACCTGACCCGGAGGGCCCCGTGCACCCACAGGCATGTGCGCGCACATGCACACACATACACACACACACACACACACACACACACAGGCACACACGGCACAGAGCAGATGGCCCGGCGCCCTCTTCCTCTCCCCACGGGAGCTGCGTCCGTGTGCGTAGCGAGCACGTACGTACCTTTTCTCCTCGGGCTCCCCGCTCCCCGCGCTCTCCCTGGAGACCCTGGGGGGCGGGGAGAGGGGGGGGCGTTAGTCACCACCACATACTGGTCCAGCTTCTGTCCCCACACACAGCCGGCTGCTCTCCCCTCAGCCTGCCAGCGGAGGGGCTCCCGGCTGGCCCCCGGGGCTGGGTGACCCAGGGCCTCTGGCCAGACTGGGACACAGCTGGCCCCCGAGCTCCTCTGGCCAAGGGCAGGCTCCCGAGCCAGGGCCCCGGCCGCCCAGCGCCGAGACCCCGTCACCGTCACTCCCCCCACACGTGCGGGACAGTGGTCCCCGTGGATGGATGGGGGGTGGAGGGAGGGAGCCTTGTCCCACAGCCTGGTCTCCCGCCCCCGGAGAAGGGCACAGCCCAGTGCGGTACCTACCGGAGCGCCGACGTGGCCAGGAGGGCCAGGAAGTCCGGGCGGCCCCGGCGACCCCTGTGAGGAGAGCCACAGGTTTGCGAGCGGGAAGCGAGGGCGGGGGCCCGGGCCACGCTCAGCCCACACCACGTGGGCGTGAGACCCCTGCTCTCCCCTGCCACCGCTGCCACTCTGCTCCCACGGTCCCACCGGGACCCCCGGACCCCACCCCCAATCCCCTGCCACCCCGACTCACCTCCCATCAGCTCAGCGTCACAGACTAGCAACCAGCGCATCTGAGCTCTGATGAGGCCAATGCGACCACTCCCACCTCCATTCGCCCCTGACCTGTGCCCCTTGCTCCCTGACCTGTGCCCCTTGCCCCCTGACCTGTGCCCCTTGCTCCCTGACCTGTGCCCCTTGCCCCGAGCCCCGTGCCCCTTCTGCCATGACCAGGCCAGGACATGGGCACAGCTCCTGATGCCCTCGGCCGAGGCCTGCAGGGCTCGCTCTGCCACCGGCCCTGCAGGCAGACGGGGCCTAACCCGGCCCCACCGATGCCCACAGCCCCAGGGCCCCCGCCCCCTGCACCAGCGTGGCCACGGCCTTGCAGTAACCGATGTGGCCGCGTCTATTAAAAGCCATTTAAGTTAAAAGGCGCGTTTCCTCCGCGGAAGGCGTGCGTGTGTGTGTGCTCTCTCCCGAATGAGGACAGAGGACACGCGGAGAGGGCCACATCGATTTCAGCGGAATCGGAAACCACCTCGGGGCAGGCGGGGAGCCGTGTGCAGACGCCGCCCCGGGCCGGGGAGGGACACGCACTGCCCAGGGCACCGTGTCTCCGTGCCGCCCGCCGTGGGCAGGGTCCCCGGGCAGGGTAAAACGAAGCAGGTAAACGCAGGCCCGGGAGGCTGTGTTTTGTAAGAATGTGGGGAAAACCACCTGCGGACAGACACGCCCACGGCAGGGAGAAACCCGCCCCCCCACCACCACATATAGCTGTGGATCTGCACCGGGCCTGCCCCCTCCCCCGCCAAAGCTGTGGGTCTGCACCCCCCCTGCCCCCTTCCCCCCCCAAAGCTGTGGATCTGCACCCCCCCTGCCCACTTCCCCCCCAAAGCTGTGGATCTGCCCCCCCCGCCCCCTCCCCCCCCCAAAGCTGTGGATCTGCACCCCCCGGCCCCCTCCCCCCCCCCCCAAGCTGTGGATCTGCACCAGGCCTGCCCCCTCGCCCCCCCAAAGCTGTGGATCTGCACCAGGCCTGCCCCCTCGCCCCCCCAAAGCTGTGGATCTGCACCAGGCCTGCCCCCTCCCCCCCCCCAAAGCTGTGGATCTGCACCCCCTGCCCCCTCCCCCCCCAAAGCTGTGGATCTGCACCAGGCCTGCCCCCTCCCCCCCCCAAAGCTGTGGATCTGCACCCCCCCCTGCCCCCTCCCCCCCCAAAGCTGTGGATCTGCACCAGGCCTGCCCCCTCCCCCCGCCAAAGCTGTGGATCTGCACCAGGCCTGCCCCCGGGACCGATGACACAGCTGGAGCACTCACCCGCATGCCCACCTCGCCAGGCAGCCCCGGCTCTCCGGTCTCCCCCTGCACACAGGACAGACGGCACCGTCAGCACCCCCGGGGGCCGGGCCGAGCCCCACAGGCAGCCCCACAGGGTCCCCTTCCTGGAGCTGAGGACGCACTGCGGTGGGGGTGGCCCCGCCGTCAGCCCCTCCAGCCTCCTCCGGGAGCGAAGGAGCCGAGCGAGGTGGGGAGGGTCACCTGGCCCCGCCGCCCGGTGCGGAGGCTCTCGGAGGAAGCGTGGACGGGCCGGGGGGAGGCCAGCCACGGGGGCGACGGGAGGCCGTCTTCACGGAGGAGCGAGAGGGGGCCTGGAGCCTCGCGGGCTCCCCTTTCTGTCCCGTCTCCGCCCAGACCTCCAGACCTTGAGCCTGACTGAGGGGGGCTCGGGGGCTCCCCACGGGGGCTCCCCCACTGAGGCCGGGCCACGGTGGCTTCCATCGCACAGGGAGGGCTGGGCACCCAGACCCCATCTCCGGGGCCTCCCGGGGAGAAGCTGAGCCGGAGGGAGACTGCCCTGCCCCGTCCTGAGTGGGCTCCCGCGCGGAGGCGGAGGGGGAGGCACAGGGAGGAGGCAGGCCCTGCGGGGACAGTGCTGTGCGGGTCCCCCCCCCCCCGACTCCTCCAGCTACACACGGGGGCTAACCCCTCCCCCTGGGCCTCCGTTTGGTGCCAGGTCTGGGCACTGGGGACACGCCCTCCCGGCGGAACTAACGGAGAAACAGCTCCGAGCGCAGGCAGCGAGGCCGGAGCCACCTCTGCAGCTGCCGCTGTAACCCAGGCTGCCCTCCGGGCAGGGCCCTCCCCGCGGGGGGCGGGGGTCCTGGCCTGGCGCAGCCGGTGGGAGGGCGGCCGGACACACGTACCCGCACGCCTTTGCTGCCGTCTCTCCCGGGGGGGCCGGGCGGGCCCAGGGAACCCTGGGGACAGAGAGCACAGCGTTAGCGGGGAGGAGGCGCTGGGACCGGCTCCCGGTGTGCTGGCACCGGAGACGAACGGCAGGACCGCCGAGGTGTGGCTGCTCAGAGTGCCCCCCAACCCCCTCCCTGCACCTGGGCAGCGCCTGGGAAGGTGAGAGACGCAGGCGCTTGGGCTTCCCACGTAACTCCTGCCACTGAGCAGAACGCTGAGCCCAGCTGGGTCATGTCTCAGCCGCACCCGTCGAAAGAGGGACACTGGGGAGGGGGCTCCGCCCACGGGGCTCCTGAGACGCCGTGGTGACGTTTTGCACGCAGGGGGGGCTGGAAACCAGCGTGAGTGCCGCCGTTTTGGGTCAATGGTTCAAACCTCACGCTTCGCCTGTGAGAAGGAACTCGCTCGCCTGGCCGGCGTGGCTCAGGGGCTGAGCATGGACTTATGAACCCGGAGGCTGAGGTTCCATTTCCGGTCGGGGCACAGGCCTGGGTTGTGGGTTCCATCCCCAGTGTGGAGCGTGCAGGAGGCAGCCGGTCCATGATTCTCGCTCGTCATTGGTGTTTCTCTCTCTCCCTCTCCCTTCCGCTCTGAGATCAATAAAAATACGTTTTAAAAAAAATAAGAGGAAACCACTCAGGTAAGAGGATGACGTAGATAAGCCCGAGACCCGTTCCGGACGGTGCCCAGGCTGGGAAAGAGGCAGAGCCCCGTGCACACCGGCAGCTGCGCCCCCATGGCCGGCCCTGAGCCCACGTCAAGGCCTTGACCTCTGTGCACCCGCCCCGCCCCATGAGCTCACTGGGAGCCGCCAGAGAGGGCCATCTGGCAGGAAGCGGCCCACCACGCCCAGGGGCCAGAACCGGAGCCCCGGGGATTGGGGGTGACCTCATCGGGCGAAAGTCCGAGAAAGAGAGCCGGCGTCCTGCCCGTCTGCCTCATGACGATCAGGCCTTTCCCTGAACGCTGACCGGGAGGTGGCTCCTGGCAGGAGGGTGCTGTGAGCTCTTTGCCCACCAGGGGGAGCCCGGCCCGGTGTCCCCGGGTGGGGTCAGAGAGCCCTCTGGGCCGTGGTCCTCAAGGGGTGGGGTGTGCCGGGCGCCGGCAGCCTGGGACACTGGGGCGCAGCCCAGCAGGAGTTCTCACAAGCCATCCAGGCGGCTCGGGGGCTCAGTCAGTGTCTCTCAGCACCGCTAAGTGTAGGCCGGGGAGCCGGACCACAGCCTGGGTCCAGGCTCGGCCACGTACACAGACAGGCTCCCTGCTCCTGCTCATGTGGTCAATGAGCATGCAAAACGGGGACAAGAATACCCTCTAGCCCTGACCGGTTTGGCTCGGTGGATAGAGCATCGGTCTGCGGACAGAAGGGTCCCAGGTTCGATTCCGGTCAAGGGCATGTACTTTGGTTGCAGGCACACCCCAGTAGGGGGGATGTGTTGGACGCAGCTGATCAATGTTTCTCTCTCATCGATGTTTCTAACTCTCTATCCCTCTCCCTTCCTCTCTGTAAAAAATAAATAATTTTTTTTTTAAGAACATCCTCCAGCTGCTCAATGAGCCATTTGGGATAAACTGAGGAGAGGACAGGACACTCCCCTGTGCCACAGCCACCTGGAATGCACTTTCTAACAACACCCCGCCCCCGCCCCCGGCTTCCTGAAGCTCTGGGAGGTCGAGTCTCCTCGGGGGACAGGATCCCTGGCATTTCCCAGCCGGGAGCGCCCCTGGGGGATCAGATCTCCGGATGCGAGGGCAGAGGGGACATCATTTGTGTATAAGAAATGGAGTGCCGTGCTGCTGAAAGGGTAATTACCCTTAACACATACGAGCGCTTTGCACAAATATAACTCATTTATTTTCTCTGGCTCATTGCATCCTGGTAGCAGCCCTCTGGGGCAGCTGGCAGCGCTGGTTTATGCTGAGAAAAGCGTGGGCTGCAGGGGTGGAGGGACTGCCCAGGGCCACACAGCTGTGAGGGCCGAGCCCTCAGCCTCCCGGCCCTCCCAGGCCAGCGGCCGGCTGCCAGCATTCGCACCCCCACCCTAATTCCCATAATCGCCCCCACCTGTTGGGTGCAGCCCTGGGTCCTGGGATGGCCCCAAATGAGTGTCGGACGGAGCTGGGGGAAAATGCAGGCGTCCCTAGCTGGCTCTGCCTGGGGCTGTGAGATCCCCTGAACACACAACCGCCCCGTGCGTCCTTCAGCACCACGGACAGGGTCCGGGGCACCTTCATTTATTCCAGCTTCTGGCATTTTGCCCACCACCTCCAGGCTTCTGAAGGGCGCACACGCAGCCAACGTGTTTTACCCCAAACCCTTCAATTATTACAAAAATAGGAGGCCCTCCACCTCCGTTATCCAGCCCAATGGCCGTGAATAACACGCATTAGCAGCATGCTAAGAATAGGAGCCGGCTGGGGGAGCCGGCCTGACCTGAGAGGAGGAGACCCCGAGCCAGAGGCAACGGGCATGGACAGACCTCAGATGTCCCTCTCTCTCTCTCTCTCTCTCTCTCTCTCTCTCTCTCTCTCTCACACACACACACACACACACACACACAACATCGTGTGTTAGGGCCCAGGCAAAAATTTGCCTCTGGAAATTTCAACCCCAGAGGCTGCAGGGCCTCCTGCAGGCGCCTGAGCTCCGAGGCCATCGCGCAGGGGGTCTTTGCGGGTTGGCTCACCGGACAAAAGAAGCTGCTTCCCACGGGGGCCTGGCTCTGAGGGTCAAGGACACTCAGGTCTGAGCATCGCCTGGGGAAACCAGGCGAGCGGGGGCCTGGGGTCAGACAGACAGGCACGGCCTCTGTCCCCTCAGCCTGCCGCTGGGAGTCCCCTCAAGCCTCCTGCCTGGCCCGAGAGGCAGACGGTGCGTGGTCCACAGCAGCTCGGAGGTGCCCGCACTGCCCAACTCCAGATCAGAGGGGGAAGCGCCAGCCCCCTGGGGGTGGCATACAGGGGGGCAGCCGCCGCTGTCCTCAGCCCTGGGAGAGCTGGGCGGCTCACTGACCGCCTGCACCCGCCTCCTCATGACCCTCCTTCACTTCATCTCTGGCCTCCGGTTCCCAACCGGCACCGATGTCTCTAGCGTCACGGTGAGCCAACCCGCAGAGACCCCGCTACGCGATGACCTCGGAGCTCAGGCGCCTGCACGAGGCCCCGCAGCCTCTCGGGCTCTCCAGTTGGGGTTTCCAGAGGCAGCGAGCATCCTGGGAAGTCGGGGCAGCCGGGGCTGTGGGTCAGGGTGCAGACACCCTCACACCAGCTGTCCCCAGGCGGGGTGCTGGCCCCGCTAGAAACGGGGGACAAGCATGACAAAGCAGGAACCGAGGCCTGAGGAACGGAACGCTCTGTCTGCTGCAGCCTCGCAGCCCAGGGACATTCAGCGAGGCTGGCGCTGGGCCCGGGTGTATTTTCTGAGCAGTCGCACAGCGGCCACACGGAGCTGTAGTTACTGCGTGCGGGCGCCCCTGGAGATGCTTACGGCAGGCTCCTGGGCGGCTGTTTCTGGGTTTTCCCTCCAGCGAGCGCTGACTAAGGAGCTGCCGACCCAGGCGCCGCTCTGCGGACGCTCTGCCCCAATTCCGTCCCTCGCGTCTCCAGGGCCCGGGCATGGGGGAGGGTGGGCCAGACGCCACCACAGGGGCCGTGGGGCCGCTCCCTCCCTTGCTGCTCCCTCCCACTCCGGGGAAACCAAGCTGCTCAGCACTTCTCTCCCTGCCCGGGGCTCGGCCGGCGCTGCCTGGAGGCCTCCTCCCACTGCATCTCCAGCCAGCTCAGCTCCCATGTGGGTGCCAGCCGCCTCCTCTGAGACAGCACTGTGTCCTCCGTGGGGGCCCTGGAGTCCTGGCCCAGGCGAGCCCTGACTGCGCTCAGCAGCGTCACTCGCTCACAAGGACCCACTCTGAGCGCCTCCTTCCCCTGCTGGAACCGGCCGATCTCCCGGCAGCAGAACAGCAGGGACGTGCAGTTCCGCCCTCCCACCCCGGTCTCAGGGGGCGAAGCTGCTGTCTCCGACTCCCAAGCAAAAGTCCCGAGCTCGTTTGGTGTGAACTGGCTTAGGAAAGGCACCGGAGCCAGGCCGTGCGGCTGAGCAGATTTATACGTGCAGGTGCCGTGGGCCAGGGACAATGCTGGGTGCTTCCGTGGGCATCATCCACCTCCTACTCTCCCCCGTCACAGCCCAGGGGGTCGGCATGCCTGGCTCCACCTCCCAGACGAGGAAGCTGAGGCCCAGAGAGGCAGTGAACCAAGCTCTCCCAGCCGCTGTGGAGCAGGGACCCAGGCCAGGTCTGCCCACCTCCCCCAGCCTGGACTGAGCCCCAAACCAAGGCTCCCCAGGGGCCAGGAAAGGAGGCCAAACCCTGGGAAGGCAGGCAGGGCCTCTCCAGACAGAGGTCACCTGGCAGGGGCCCTGCAGAGCCAGCCTGGAGCCTGCGCTCTGGCTTCCCGACACCAGAGGGCGCTGTGGGCCCAGGAAGGCTGCAGCTTCCTCCCTTGCAGGCCCTGGTCGCCCAGAGCAGGACCCTGGGAGGCACCCTGAGATTGCTCACGGGAAACTGCCCGTCGTGGCCGTGTTTGTGCTGTTTCTAGACTTTAATACCCGGGTCTGCAGACCTCACCTCTACGGACGCACACACACGGACCCAGGGCCCGCCCCGCAGGACCTGCACACACCACCTCCTCACTGAGGGCAGGAGGGAAGGGAGGACACGCAAGCCACCCCCACCCCCTATTCTCCGAGGTCCCGGTCCTCCAGGGCCGGCGCACACCGTCTCCGGGTAAATGACACAAAAACTCGCAAAGGTCACAGCCAGATCGGTCACGTGATGCCCGGCCCCACGGCCCCCGGCCCTCCGATCACCCTCCCCGCCCCCACCCCTCTGCAAATCCCTCTGGAGAGAATATTCTAGCAGGAGGCCACTTGCTCAGCCCTGTTCACGCGTCTTAGTCACAGTGACGGTCTCCCCTCCGCGGACTCTGGCCCGGGGGACCCACCGGGCTGCCCCGGCCTCCGAGGGAGACCAGAGACCCCACACGAGGAAGCTCCAGCGGTTCGGGCTGCAGGGGGCGCCAGGCCCGATCTGAGAGCCGCCCTGCCAGGCCTGCAGGCATTGGCACCCCCTCTCCCCCTCCCCATGTCTGTGGAGGGGAGAGCAGCGGCTCAGAGCGGAGGTGGCACCCAAGCCACACGGCCGCTCCTGTGGCTCAGCCGGGACGCCGACTCTGCTGAGAACGCACAGCTGACGGCCCAGCGTGGGAGCCAAGGACAGAGCCATCGGGCCGGTCTGTCCGGCTGCCCGTCCCTGTCTGTCCGGTCTGTCCGGCTGCCCGTCTGTCTGGCTGTGGCCCTGCAGCTCCGGGGGAGAGAAGCCGTGCCACGGGCAGGGCTGCGGGCACCGGGGGGCCTCCGGGTGTCAGGAGCCTAAGGCTGCGCCTCCTGAGCTGTCAGGACAGACGGAGCAGACGGAGACACCCACCTCCACGGCCCTGGGGAGCCCGACAGCAAGGGAGACGCTCACCTTTTCACCCTTCTCTCCGTGGACGAATGGTCCTCGGCCCTGAGGAGGAAGGGAGAGGGCAGAGGTGACCCTGGGGCCTCCGGGGGCCTGGCATCGCCTGGCAGCCGCTCCCGGGGACGGGACACGTGGGCAGCTTCTCGTGGCTCTGCCCCGCAGCCTGCGAGACAGCACCGCCGTGCAGAGCAGTGATGCTCACGGGCACCGTCGCATGTACACCCCCCACCACGCCGCAGCCCGGCGCTCCCGTCCTCCCGGCTCAGCGTCACCGAGAGGCAGCCTCCTGCACGCTGGGACCGGGGAAGGCAGGTGACGTGGAGCACAGAGGCGATGGGTGACCCAGACCTGGGGGCGGGGTACCCCAGGGCACCCCACTGCCAACTGTGCGTGAAGAGACAATGTGAGCCAGACGGGAGGGGGGGGCACCGGGCGGGTGGAGGGCACACTGGTCCTGCAGGGAGAGCACGCAGGGGCTGGGGAAGAGGTGGGCACGTGGGAAACCCTGATTTCCCACCGGGTGGCCGAGGTCCAGGGTGAGAGTGGAGGTGAGGTCACAGTCAGAGCGGCCGGCTATGTCCCGCCCGCACGCCCCACCCCCATGCCCACAGCCAGGAGCCGGGGCTTCATGGTGAGGGAGGGACAGGACTCGGGGCCTGGCGCCCACGAGGGCCCATGCACTCCAGGGACAGGCATGACTGGGGCCCGGGGTTTCCCTCCCCCACCAGCCAGCGGGGCGGGGGGGTGGGGGGCGCGCGCGCACTCACCGGGTCGCCTTTCTCACCCTTGGGTCCCGGAGCCCCGAACAGCCCGGGGCTGCCCCTGTCGCCCTGGGGAGTGGAAACGGGAGATGAACGTCATGGAGGTCCTCCCTCAGGCCCCCCGCACAGCTGCCCACAGCCCGCAAGCCCCACCCGGGGAGCAGCTGACCTTGGCCTTGTGACCTGCACCACGAGGCCACCCGCTCAGCCCGAGGAGGGGAGACCTGGGTAATTCCCCAGCCTCCTCCCCAGGAGCCAGGGCCTCTGAGGAAGCGAGTGCCTGCAAGGTCTCGCTTGTTCCTGGGAACGGCCTGGCCCTGCACCGAGCCCGGGCCCCGAGGAGCATTAGAAGCCTCAGGTCTGCCAGGCCGGTGTGGCTCAGTGTCACAGTTCCACTCCCGGTCAGGGCATATGCCCGGTGGTGGCCTCGATCCCCAGTGTGGGGCGTGCAGGAGGCAGCCGATCCATGACTCTCTCTCCACATTAATGTTTCTCTCTCTCTCCCTCTCCCTCCCTCTGAAATAAAAATACATTAAAAAAAAGTTTTTTTTCTAAAAGCAGCCCCAGGCGGCACCCCAGCTCGGCTGCGGCTGAGTTGGGGCTGTGTCCCTCTCCTTGCTCAGTTTCGGGGTGAGAAATGGAGGTGCTGAGCAGAGAGAGGCTCACGCCCCTGCTTTCTCCTTCCACCCCGCCCGGCCGGGAGCCACGCCCGCCGGACGGGGCCGAGCACTGGGTTCCTCCTCCCCCGGAGAGCACGGCCGAGGTGTCCGGGCTCAGAGCCACCCCGGCCGGCCCCGGTACTGACCTTGGGGCCGGGCAGTCCCACGGGGCCAGCGGAGCCCTGTTCTCCCTGCGGGAACGGAGAAACGGCAGGAGTCAGGCTGTGTGCTCACGCCGCCCTCTCCCTGCACGACGGGGTGCCTCACCCACGAGCACAGCCAGTCTGCTCCGTGCTGAGGCTCTCCAGACGGCCGCATCCCCCGCCCAGGCCTCTGTCTCCTTCCTCCCTGGCCGCACCGCCGAGCACCGCCTGGCACTGCCCTCTGGGAGGGCAGACACAGCCACGGGCCTCACCGCAGGCTGGAGGCCGAGGCCCATGAACCTGGGAGACTCTGCCCAGCACTGCCTTTGTCCTCTGGTGCTGTTTGTGTGGGTCATGCCCAGCAGCAGACAGCGCTCTGTTCTGCTCTTTCTTACCGGAAGGGCCGGTGGTCCACAGAGAAACGGGCACTCAATCTAGGTAATGGATGCCATGTATCCACAGACGCACACTCGTTTTTAAAATTAGAACAAGATGGCCGAAACCAGTTTGGCTCAGTGGAATGAGGGGTCCTGGGTTCGATTCCAGTCAAGGGCATGTACCTTGGTTGCAGGCACATCCCCGGTGGGGGGCGGAGGGGTGCAGGAGGCAGCTGATCAATGTTGCTCTCTCATCAATGTTTCCTGCTCTCTCTCCCTCTCCCTTCCTCTCTAAAAGAATCAATAAAATATTTTTTAAACATATTTTATTGATATTTTACAGAGAGGAAGGGAGAGGGGTAAAGAGTCAGAAACATCGATGAGAGAGAAACACTGATCAGCTGCCTCTTGCACACACCCTACTGGGGATGTGCCTGCAACCAAGGTGCATGCCCTTGACTGGAATCGAACCTGGGACCTTTCAGTCCGAAGGCCGATGCTCTATCCACTGAGCCAAACAGGTTTCAGCCAATAAAATAGTTTTGGAAAAAATAGAATAAAATTAGAAAAAGATGCATACAAACCTACTCGCCTACGCACTGAGGTTGGAGTCTGGCTCATTAAAGAAACGTGGAGGAGACAGGGACCAGGGTGTCCACAGACACATCCACACCCACCACAGCCTTTCTCTCTGATTCTCAAGCCAAGCCCTGTTTGGCTTAGCTGCCCGCGAGGGCAGGGGCCACAGGAGGGGCCAGGATTCCAGGGGAACCCCTCACTGACTCCGCGGAGCTGTGTGAGGAGCCCCCGTCCTGGCGTGCACATGACCAGGAAGTAAGAGGTCGGAGGAGCAAGCACACTTCCCTGACCTGGAGGTCTCGGGCGCCTGGGAGCCGCAGGCCCCGGCAAAGCAATGCATGATGGGAAACTCCCACCTCCACGCCGGTCCTGTGGGCCAGCCTGCCTGCTCAGCCCTGGGGCAGCAGGAGGTACCTTCTCTCCGGCGGGGCAGGAGCAGTTGATGGTCTTCAGAAAGCCGACCTGCTCGCTGCCGGCGGTGGGTGGCGGCGGGGCCAGGGGCGGGGGCTCGGTCCGCACGGTCACCTGGCACTGGAAGGAAAGCCGGGCGGGTCAGCACCTGCGCCTCACCCAGCACCCCTCCCCACAGGCTCCATCTGGAGCCTCCGCACAGCCCGGGACAGACCTCACGGCCCTCTCCCCCGGCCGGACCAGGACACGGGTCCCTAGCAATGACTCCAGGCTTCTAATGGCGGGCGTCCCCTGCACCCCGACTGCCCCTCCCCGGGCCGGACACCCACCCCCTCCTGGAGGCCCAGGACCCATCTCCCCCGGCCCCTCTGCAGGGCCTGCTCACCGGGCCTGTGGGGATGTCGCAGCAGGTCTCCAGCTCTGCGTGGCGGGAGTCGCAGTAGATGACAGCGCGCTGCAGGTCAAACTGAAAGAGAGGGGGCGGAGGGCGTCCTGGGACCCGGCCTGCACCGGGCGTGCACTGGACAGGACCCCTCCAGGGACACACGGAGCATCTGTGCCGTTCACTGACGGATCACACCTCCACCAAGAATAGGTCAAACTCTGCTTATTGGGGTAGGTTAGCCTCCCGAGACAAAGCTTCTTTACCTAAAATGTAAAAACCGTCCAGACATTTCAAAGGCATTCTGAAAATCAAATTAGTTTATATCTCTAGTGCCTGAACCAGAGGAGGAACACATACAATTAGTAAAATGAACAAACAGTAGGTTCATTCTATACTAGGAGCCCGATACACAGAATTTGTGCATGGGTGAGGGGGAGGTGTCCCTCAGCCCAGCCTGCACCCTCTCCAATCTGGGACACCTTGAGGGATGTCCGACTGTCCTAGTAGGATCATGCCTAAACGGGCAGTTGGACATCCCTCTCATAATCCAGGAGTGCTGGCTCCCAACTGCTCGCCTGCCTGCCTTCCTGATTGCCCCTAACCACTTCTGCCTGCCAGCCTGATCACCCCCTAATCACTCCCCTGGCAGCCTGATTGATGCCTAACTGCTCCCCTCCTAGCCTGATTGCCCCTAACTGCCCTCCACTGCAGGCCTGGTCACCCCTAACTGCCCTTCCTTGCAGGCCTGGTCCCTCCCAAGTGCCCTCTCCTGTTGGCCATCTTGTGTCACCATGGGGGCAGCCATCTTGTGTGTTGGAGTGATGATCAATTTGCATATTACTCTTTTATTAGATAGGATTATGTAAGCACGTATAACTACAGTACTAAGTTGTTAGTATGCATATGGACTACATGCTATAAAGTTGCACATATTTCTTAGTAGATATATAGAGAGATATAGCTATAGATACAGATATAGGTATAGATACGTAGAATAGCATACCCTATACCGGGGCTGAGCTCAGTGCCTGGCATACAATAAGTGCCCGATATATATGTGATCAATGGCTGACTGAATGGCTGGCTGACTGAGTGAGTGAGCGAGCAATGTGACCCTGGGCTCCCACCCGGCAGCTCTGAGTCAGGACCCTCCCTTCTAAGACGGAGCGAGGCGAGGCCTTGACAAACGATACAGGCGGGTGTGAGGGCGTGGGGAGCCGAGACCCCGCGGCTCCTGCCCGACCCCGGGCCCGGACTCACGTCGATGGGCACGCTGTCGTACAGGCGCTTGCCGAGGACGGTCTTGCCCCGGATGTCGATGTTCTCCCTCTCCTCCAGGGGCAGCGTCTGCACCAGCGCGCAGTCGATGTACAGCGAGGCGTTCCGGGCCTGCACGCTCAGCGCCAGCTTGTGCCAGTCCCGGTCAAACAGGTCGTCCACCCGGGCGCCGCGGAAGACCACCCTGACGGCGTCCTCCATGGCGCCCACAGCGTTGTACTCCACCGCCTTGTTCTCGCCGTCCAGCCGGATGGACACCTGGGGGGCCAGAGGCTCGTGGGGCCGGCGGGCGGAGGGGCCTTCCTCTCTCCGGGCCCAGGAGCCTCGGGCACACGTCAGCTCCCTGCCGGCACCTCCTGTCCGGTGTGAACCCGGAAAACCACAGGCCCCGGCTCATAACACTTCGGACCCCTCCCATGTCCTGAAGCTGGTCTCCCAGGTCGGGGCCCCTGTCCTCGACCCCCCGGGGGCTTCCTGAGAACACGGGGCTCCCCTCCAGGGCTCCGTTCTTCCAGCAGGTGCACATCGGGGTGGGGGAATGTGGGGGACCCGAGGCCTGAGCCTACCAGCCCTGGCTGGGGTCCCGGGGGCCCTTCACAGCTCAGACCCATTGCAAATCCCGATGGTTTTATCTGCATCCACCAGAGCCGGGCCTGTCCCCACAGGCACTCCCCTCCCGGGGCAGGTCAGTGGCACCTTGCCCGGATGCCTGTCATAGTCCCCCTGTCTCCAGGCTGCCCACCTCCCGGGGCCTGGTCTCCAACAAGACCCTAACCTGCCCACCTGGCCAGGGTCCGTGGCCACCCCTCTAACTGCCCGCACACTGCCCTCCACCCAGCCTCCTGCCCGCCCTGCATCAGGTCGGAATGAGTGATGGCCCTCGGTTCCTCCCAACAGCAATGGACAATGCCAGCGCGCTGGGTGGCCGTCCGCATGGCCAGTGAGTGGGACCAGGCATCTGAAAGCCTCCGTGAGCAGGTGGGTAAAGGCTAAGGGCATGGGCGGCCGGGGACCCATCCCGCTCAGTGTCCCAGGGCCTCCCAGGGCACGGAGGTGCCCATCACACTGCCAGCGGCCGCAGCCGCCAAGGCTGCCCCGTGACGGTGAGCTGCCAGGCGCCCGGGTGGAACGGCCTGAGGTCCTGGCAGGCGGCTCGGCCTCCGCCCGGTCACCTCGCGGCATCCTGGCGCGGCCGGCAGCTGCGGGGAGCAGGCGCGGCGGGAGCACGGGCTCTGCAAACCTCATAAAGGACGCGGACCCAGACTGCGGGGGAGGCGCGGCTGGCCACAGGAATGTCGTGGCCGGCGCCCAGCCCGTGGCCGAGACCCTGGGAACCGGAGAAGAGGACCGGGTGCTGCCTGCTCTCCAGAGGGGCCCCAGGGGAGTGGGGGGGAGACTCTGGTCCCTGCACGCTGCTCCCACGTGAAGAAATTGGGCCACGAGCAGGCAGCCTGAGGAAGCCCATGGCGGCGTGACCAGGCCCGAGACAGAAACATCGGGACCAACTCGAGAGACAGAGCCACCACACAGGGTGGAGAAGAGACAGCCGTGGGGCTGACTGCCTGGGTTCAAATCCCACCTCCCCTCGCGTCGCCTTAAAGCGGCAGGCATGTGCCCACCCTCACTGTGGCCGGTGCCCTCCCTTGAGCTGGCCCAGCAGGTCACTCACGGGGCTGTGACGAGGACTCAGTGGGCTGGGATGTGGGGCACGCTCAGGACCACCCCCGGCTCCTGCCAAGTGTGCACACGCGTGGGTGAGTGTGTGTGGGTGAGCCCGTGTGGGTGAGCCCGTGTGGGTGAGCAGGTGGAGATGAGCCCATGTGGCTGGCAGGTGGGCTCCAGGTCAGGGTCGGGGAAGCCGGTCTCCACGCGAGGGCCCGAGCGGCCTCGGTGCTAATGAAATCCGAGTGGAAGTACAGTTGGCGCCCCCGCTAGGCAGCCCTGTCTTCCTTCACCCGGTTCCGGTTCAGGAAAGAGCAGGGCAAACAGACAGGCGGGCCTGCGGACTGGAAGCCGCCTGGGCCTCGGCAGAGCACGAAGCAGAGCTGCCTCTCGCAGGGCGCCTGGTGCTGCGGCTGCGACGCTGAGGCCGCTTCCTCCCCGGCCACGGCTGCTCTGGAGGAGCCACCCCCCGGGACGGAGCCCGAGCACCGGGTGGGCAGACCCGCCTCCCTGCTTCACGGGCACGACACCGGGAGGGGGCTGCCCGTGCCCGCTGTACTGGGCGGGGTTTGTGTCCAGTTCACAGCGAAGAACCCCAAGACGCAGAGGACCACGTCTCCGGCCACACAGACACAGATGGAGCCTGTGTCCTCCTTCTCCGTCCCAGCCTGGCTCTGGCTGCGGGCACACGGGTGCCATCGGCCAGAGCTGCTGCCAGGCCTGCGGGGGGCAGGTCCTCGCCCCACCGGAGAGCCAGCATGCCCCCCGCCCGGGGGAAGGTGCCTCTCTGAGCGGTGAAACCCCCCCGGGGGTCCCCTGGCCCTCAGGGACCAGCCAGGCCCAGCACAGAGGCCGGAGGCAGTGGGTCGGCCGCGCACCTGCGGGATGCCGTACTGGTCGATGACCTGCCAGATGTACCAGTCCTCTTTCCGCGAGCTCTTCCGGAAGCGGAAGGTGGTGACGAAGGCGTACTCGTCGGGCAGGCCTTGGGGGAACACATCCCTGGGGGGGGGGGGGGAGAGACAGACAGTGATGCCTGAGGCCCAGCAACCAGGCAGGAGCTGCCCAGGGCAGCCACGCAGCCTGGTCCCTAAGCCCTGCCCACTGAGCCTCCTGAACACTCCCCCACACACACTGCCCCTCCCCACTTCCTACCTCCTCCAGGGTGGCCCTCTGAGACCTTCCGGTGGCCCCTCCACTGGCCCCTTCAAACCCACCCACAGTGCTCCCCTCTCCCCAGGGCCACCGCCCCTGTCGCCGTCCAGGCCACACTCCCTGCTGTCCCGGCAGCAAGGCCCACCTCTGGTGCCCTGCCCCTGCACCAGGTCATCCTCCCGCTCCACAGAGCCCGGGGCTCCTGTGGGCGTGGGAGCAGCCCCCAATGGGGGTCCCCAGCTCCCTGTAGCTCCCCTCCCCATCCAGAATGGAAGGGGTCCCTCACAAGGAGTGCTGAGGGCGTCCGGACTGTCTCCGCTGGGGCAGCCAGGCTGGGAGGGTGAGCTCCTTGTGTGGCCGGACCAAGTCAGGCAAAGGCTTACACCGAGGCCGAGGGCCGGGGTCTCAGAGCTCGCCGCCCCTCAGCTGCCTACGCCCCCCCTGCACACCGGGCAGGCGGCTGCCTGGGGCGCACTGGGCCTTGGCTTCCCCGCTAGCCATCTGGCCAGAGAGCCAGCCGAGAGGGGAAGTGAGGAGGCGGCCGGGTTCCTGGTTCTCAGACGGCAGACCCTCAGGGACCCCGGCTTGGCGCAGTCCGGCCTCGCTGTCCGGTTCCCGTGCACAGATCTGAGCTGGGGTGGCAGCTGTTCCAAGTCCCGTCTGAGCCGGTTTCCCAGGCCCACGCCGGGCACCGGAGCAGGGCAGGCTCAGCGCCTGGGCCGCCCCCGGACCCCGGGATTCTGAGGCCGTGGCCTGGACTCCCTCTGTCCAGCTGGACACACCGGCTCTGAGGCCAGAGCCCACGTCACCTCACTTCCTACACATTCATTCCTGAGTCCAACTGGCCTGTTGTTTCCTACACACACTTACCTCTTAGACCTTTGAGAGAACACACGTGTGTGTGTGTATGTATATAGGGATAGCTCTCTATATGCTATATATTACTCTACCTATATATTTATGCCATAGATATCTATACTACATCTACATCTGTTTCTATTTATCTATGTCTACAGAGAGGAACTAAGCCTTTCCTTAGGACATATATACATATATATATAACATAGGCACACACATATACTACATATACACTGAGTGGCCAGATTATTATGATCTCTGAACCCATAATAATCTGGCCATTCTGTGTGTGTGTGTGTGTGTGTGTGTGTGTGTGTGTGTGTGTGTATTGGAGGCCTGGTGCATGAATTTGTGCATGGGTGGAGTCTGGCCAGCCTGGCCAGAGGGAGGGGACATGGGCGATTGGCCGGCCTGCCTGCTGGTCGAACTCCTGGACAAGGGGACAATTTGCATATTAGCCTTTTATTCTATAGGATATACACTGAGTGGCCAGATTACTATGTGTTCAGAGATCGTAGTAATCTGGCCACTCAGTGTATATACACACACATGTACTACACGTGTATACATGGAAAAACGGGGAAAGTTATTACAGTGCGGACGGGAAGGGCTGTCCTCAGGAAGCGGAGGGGCCTGCCTTGCCCTCCCACCGCCGCCCACAGGGGCGCTCACTCGGTCCGCTGCACCACGGGGAAGGACCCCATCCGCACGTAGGAGCTCTGCACCCCATCCTCACGCTGCCCCAGCACGTCCTTCACCCGGAACCGGTCCATCAGGTCAAACCCTGCGGGGAGGAGAGAGGGGGGAGTCTGGAGAGGGGGCAGCCTGCCCGCCCCCCTCTGCCCCCGGGGAGTGATGGGGCCTCCGAGGGGGGCCCGGCAGGTACAAACTTGGGAGCAAACCAACAGCAGGGAGTAAGGCGAGGCCCAGCTCCCATTCCAATCCCTGTCCCAGGAAAAGGTGTGGGGGGGGGGGGGGGCACCGGGCCTCCCCCTGGAACCCGGTGCCGTCAGCGCCCAGCTGGCGACGGGAGACCAGGGCAGTCGGCGGGGGCAGCCAGCAGGGCCCCCCAGTGGGCAGTGACTCAGCTGCGAACACATTCGCTTCAAGGTGATGGAGTTAACCAAGCGAACAGGCTGAGTCAACTCGTGCGTCAGACAAAGCAGATGGTGGTGGCAGGTCCCTGGGCACCGAGCAGGACCCGGTGCTGAGGTTGGGGAGGTGCTGATGGGGGGGGGGGGGGGGAGACACAGGGAAGGAAGCAGCTGGTAGGAGCGCGGGGCTGAGCCTGCAGCTGGATCCAATGGGGAAACTGGGAAATGAGGGCCAAGGGGTCTCTACATCAGCGACCCCTGGCTGGCCTGGCCGGTGTGGCTCAGTGGGTGGGCGTTGACCTATGAACCAAGAGGTCACCGTCCGATTCCCAGTGGAGGCCCAGTCCCGGGGTGCGAGCTCGATCCCCGTTGTGGGGCGTGCAGGAGGCAGCCGATCGATGAATCTCTCTCATCACGGATGTTTCTCGCACTCTCTCCCTCTCCCTTCCTCTTTGACATCAGTAAAAACTGGCGGCAGCTGCTCCTGAGGCTGCTCACCCTCCCTCTCCGCCCGGGGCTCCAGGCAGCACGCCGCCCCCTTCTCCGCTCAGCCCATGGGCACAGTGGGTGAGCCTCTGAGTCCTCGGCAGCCCCCGACCCGGCAGCACCTGCATAGCACCCATCCTGATGGTCCCCGGCTCCCTGTCCGGAGGGGAGCCTGGCCCAGGGCTGGACTCGAGGCGCAGTGGACTGGAGAGGGCGCCCAGGGGCCTGGGGAGGAGGGCGGGCTGCCGTCCTGGGCGGGGATGCCAGGCCACAGGGGGAAGGAAGCTGGTGCTTCCCGTTATCAGGATGATGGGGAGCCGCCTGAGCCACCCTCCTGTCCCCGCACACCTGTCACCTCAGAGACAGCCTCTGAGGAGCGGCTGGTCCCTGTCCCTTTGTCCTCTCCCCATCGCTCCACTCACATAGTCACAGCTGTGACTCTCCGCCCCTCACACTCAGCGCCTTGCACACTCCCTCCTGGGCCCTGCCCATCACCGGTATCATTCCCAGCGGTGACACCGCGTTCACGCTCACACCACGCAGGCACACCCACGGGCCCCCAGCCCGCGGACACGGCAGTCTGGGCTGGCAGGCGGGGTGTTGGCGGGCCTGGCCACCTGCACGCTCAGACCGCCCCAGCGGGTCTCTGGTTAACACAGGCCCGGCGGGGACGGCAGCGGCTCTCCTGCGGGCGCCCTCTCACCTGTGATCTCCTTGGTGCCGCCGTTGGTGTGCTTGAAGCGGTGTCCCTCCACGCGGACGCTGGGGCACAGCACGTCTGAGGAGCAAGAGCAGACAGTGAGCGAGGGCAGCCAGACCCTCTGGAAACGAGACCTCACAGGGATTCCACCCCCCGCCCCCCAATCTCACAGCGCGGAGGGCCACACAGACCCCCATCTCACAGCACGGACCCCCATCTCACAGCGCGGACCCCCATCTCACAGCACAGAGGGCCACACGGACCCCCATCTCACAGCACGGACCCCCATCTCACAGCACGGAGGCCCGCACGGACCCCCACCTCACAGCACAGAGGGTCCAGCGCCTGGAGCAGATGCACGTGTGAAGGAAGCCCCAGAGGGTCTGTGGAGAGAGGGAGCCCAACACCAAACCCAGAGGGACAGGTGCCACAGGGCAGGCGAGGGCATGGGTGCTGGGGGCTCAGGGCCTCCCGGGAGGCGAGGCTGGAGGCTCCAGTGAGGAGCAAGGAGGCTGAGCCAGACACACGGACGCCGCAGGGGGAGCCTCCCAGAGAAAGGCGGACATTGGACATGGGAAGCCAGGTCAGCGACGCCCCCCAGTACACGGTCCTCTGTGCCAGGGACCGAGCAGAAGGAGTCTCTCATGCACCCAAGGAGCTGCAGGGCAAACCCAGAGAATGCCACACTGCTGGGCCGCACGAGGGCGAGTCACGCGATCAAATACACCAAGGACGGGCGTTCCATGAGCACACCGCGATCCTCGCGTACGGAAAGCAAGGGCGGAAAGGGCTGTCCGTCCCAGGGCGGGCACGACTGTGAGCCTGAGAGGCCCGGCTTCAGTGCGGGCTCCCCGCCCGCCTCCTAAGCTCTGGGTCTGGGTGTGCGGTCGGTGCCGTGGGAGGCCCAGAGCACACGCATGTCCCAGGGCTGCACCGCGGATGGGAGAGGCCACGCTCAGGACAGGACTGGGCTGGGAAGAGGCCCCTCCTAGCCCCCGAGGCAGCTTAGCGTGTACCGCCCGTGAAGCAACCTGGTCACACGCGTTCTTGTTATAACCACACATCAGGCCGCCATTCACCTCCGCACCCCATCCGCTCCACGTGCCACCCCCTCTCCCCATCTTGGGGCACACGTGTGTGAGGGCGGGCAGGCGTGGGCCCTGGCCCAGCAGCAGTGAGGGGCACGAGGTGGGTCATTTCCTGGTCTGGGAGGAGCTGCTCTTTCACTTTTATTTTTCATCATCCTCCCCGAGGATATTTTCCATTGGTTTTAAGAGCAAGTGGAAGGGAAGGGGAGAGAGAGGAGAGAGGGGAGAGAGAGAGAGAGAGAGAGAGGATGGTGGCCTCCCGCACACACCCTGACCAGAGTCGGGGATCGAGCCTGCAGCCAAGGCACATGCCCTTGACCGGAACCAGGCCCCTTCTTCGAGCCCACGCTCTACCCACTGAGCCAGACAAGCCAGGGCGGGCAGAGCTATTTTCAATGTTGGCCCTAACAGGCACCGGGGGTCCGCCGAGCCCCATGGAGGAAGGTATTCTGGACCCAGCACCGCGCGGTCTGTCTGGGACCCGGTCCGAGGGAGGCGGCCGGCGCTGGGCGATATTTAGATGCTCCACCCGGGACGGTGGCAGCTGTGGGGCGGCAATCGGCTGTTTTCCCTCCGGCCGCCGGCCAGAAGGACGGGCTGGGGAGCGTGTGTCATGAGAGGCGTCGACTCGGAGGTTCCTGCCTGGGTGATGAGCGACCCCCAGGGCTGGTGGCTGGGGCTTGGCGGGGCCAGAGCCACTGAGCCTGTCTCCGCGGGTATCCCAGCGGGACAGCCTAATTCTGAACCCCAACGGACAGGGACAGCTGAGGGCCCTGAAGGCAGAAAAAATAGTCTCCCCAAAGCGTCACACTTGCCCGATCGGCTCTCAAGAGCCAGACGCCCCAGGCCAGCTGCCGCCATCCTGGGTGGAGCATCTAAATATTGCCCAGGTTCCCTTTGGGGCCCTCACTAAGCCTCAGAGGCTCCAGGCGCCGTTTATAGCTGACTCCATGCAGCCAGGACACAGGGGCCCGAAATACCCCGTCCAGCCGGCCCCGGGCCTGGGGGCCCGGAATCACCTGCTTGGCGGGGAGACAGGCTCAGCACCCCGTCCCTCTCAGCCATAACCGATCCCTCCGGCCCAGAGATCCCGGTGCTTGGGCAATGGCCTATTTATGTCTGCATTACCGCATCTCATTTATTCTAACTCCATCCTCACAGGCTCGGGATCCGCCGGGACACACAGAGGGATGGCAGATCGGTCACCGTCCCTGCTCCAGGGCCCTTCTGGGCTGGCTGAGAGGACAACACGAGAGAGCAGCATCCTCCCGTCTCCTGGCTTCTCAGCCCTCCTCCCGCCTAAGCTCTGAGAATCTCCCCGGCCTGGAGCCCCACCCCCGGCTTTGCTCCGGCCCCTCCCCCGTGAGGAGGCCCTCTCCCCGCCCCGGGCCTAGGCCTGGGGGTGCACCTGTCTGTCTCCCCCGGGATGGGAGCCCGCAGACCTGGCTGCATCTCAGTCCAACTCTATCTACACTGTCCCCGCAGCCCAGGTGGGGACAGGTCTGAGCCCACGCAGAACAGAAAGGGCAGTGACACCCGGACGGAGAAGGAGACGCTGAGCGGTGGGCTGGGCCCCTGCCGGGCATGGCTTCCTCGCGACGAGGATGAGCCAGTGAGAAGAGCTCACGGGCTCCGGGCCTCCTGCGAGGGAGGAGTGGTCGGCCAGGTGACGGGCGCTGGGTGTGGGTCCAGCTCCCACTCAGACTCGCGGGTCTGGGAAAGCCTCTCAGCTGAGCCGCACGAGCTGAGAGCTACGAGGGGCGTGAACCAGCAGGGGAAGAGCAAGCAGACACGGCTTCAGCCACGTCCCAGCTGCAGCAGAGCCCTGCGGAGGGAGGGGCTGGCTTGCCCTGGGCCTGGGAGGGAAGCCCCCCATCACCTGGTTGAGGGGAGAGGACAGGGAGGGGGTGCTGGGCCAGGGGCAGCCTGGTCCTCACCAGGAGGGTGTGGAATTCAGGGCAATGAAAGATGGCGTGCCGGATGCAGGTGTGCTCTGGAGGCGGGGCAGAGGACAGGGGCAGGGGCAGGGGCAGGTACGGTGTGATTGCCAATGTCCCGTCCCTGGGGCCCCTTTGCCTCCAGGGAGTGTCCCACGGGCCAGCCAACAGGGTCACCAGAGACTGCAGGGACCTCGCTGGGCGGGGCTCCTGGCTCTGCCTGGCCAGCGGCCGGTGCAGACCGAGCTGGCGTCCCCGGCGTGGATGAGAGAGAGGGGAGACTCCAGACCCAGTCCCGGCCGCCAGCAGGAATGCTGGGAGGCGAAGAGGACACGGCAGAGGCGGCGGCAGGTGGACCGGGAGCCCGGGGGCGAGGGGCCCAAGTCCACGGGGTGAGGGCGTGTCTCCCAGCGCCCACTCTGCCCCCGGAGCTCTGCTCGCGGCCTGATGCAAAGGCTCCGCTCACGCCCCCGGCCCCGGGCGGCACCTCAGCAGCCCCTCCCCCGCCCCCCGCCCCCGCACAAGCCGCTCTGAGCTTCCTCCCCCCCATCCCGCGGGCTCCGGGCTCCGGGGGACCCTGTGGGCCCCGTGTTCTAAACCCCCTGGGATATGCTCAGTCCAGGAGCACAATCCACTCTGACGGCCGCCCTCCGGGTCCCGTGGGGATCAGTCCACGGACAGCACAGGAGCCAGCCCTGGTCCCAGCGACCCCGACCTCTCACCGCCCCCTTCTGCTCCCATCCGTTCCCCCGGGGCCCGGGCTGCGGGGGGAAGGTCACGGCACCCAGTCTGCCCGAGGTCACCCATGAACCCTGAGCTTCTGAGGATGGCGGGGAGGGGCGCCCCAAGGACTTCCCCTGAGGGGCAGGTGCCGGGCCGGGAGGAGGGGGCACCCCTGCAGGAGGGAGGACCTCCTTCTTCCCACCGGATGGGTCCCCCGTGGGCAGGTGGTGATGAGACGGCAAAGGGCGCCCACAGGAGGCTGCCGGGCCCCTCCTGCCCTCCGCGCGGGCACGGCCGTCCATGGCGGGAGAGACGGTACCAACGCCGTGAGCAAGGCAGGCTGTGGGGGCAGCGCTGTCCCTAAGTCACCCTGTGGCCACAAACCATCCCCCTCCCCTCCCCTCAGCCTCAGAAAAGCAGGCCTGGCGGCAAAGGCCTGGGGGGCGGGGGGGGGGGGGCGGGAGGGAACGGGCCCACCCCTGCCTCCACCAGCAGCCTGTGGTTCTCGGGGGAGATGGCAAACAAGATACGGGGCTATTTATTTTTTCTAGCCGCGGCCACATTCTCTCCATTAGCATGTGGCCTGGGACCAGACGTATCTGTAGGCAGGCGCGGGGTCGTGTCCCCAGAACCGGAGCACCCGTGGCAGAGGCAGGCCCCAGGAATAGGAGACCGAGCACCCCATCCCCCTCCTCCCCCCCACCCCCCGGGAGCGGGCAGGGCCGGGCTCTGCCCTCCGATGCCTCGAGCAGCAAGGCCAGGGCCGGCCACTGGTCCAGAGGCCCAGCCGCCCTGCCCCTGTCTGCTCTCCCCTCCGAGGCTGGAGGAGGTGGGCGCTGGGTTGGCCACGGGCTGCATTCCCGAGGGGCTGGCAGGCTGGGGGCGGGGGGATCACGGCCAGATGTCCATGAGGAGCAGCTGGGCGCCCTGCTCCTTCCCTGGCAGATGCCACTGGTCCGGCAGGGCGGAGGCCGGGGGAGCGGGAGGCGCACGCCCTGGGAGGAAGGCCACTGCCCAGGGGCTCCCGCGGGCACAGCCCTGCTCTGGCCCTGAATGCCTGGCTTGCAGCCCACCCAGAGCCCAAGGCGGGATTTGGGGTCAGAGGCAGGAGGGGGTTGCGAGAAAACAACCCCCCCAGGACTTCCCCTCCTGCTGACAGGCCCCCTCAGGCGCCCCCAGGCACGGTTAGTACCCGAGGCCGAGGACCCACGCCTCCCCACGCCTGTGAGACTGGTGTGCATAAGGACCGTTCTTAGAAACAAACAAACAAACAAACAAACAAACAAAACGCCAGCCCAGGCGCCTGTCCCGCAGCCAGGCGGCCAGTCAGGTTTCCCGCGTGCGGCCGGGCCTCACCGGTGCAGCGGCCGCCTCAGTGCACCAGCTTCCAAACAGCCGTTCCCGCAGCTGCACCCGGGCTGCCCGGGGGCGGGGCAGAGGGAGGCGTGCGCACAGGCATGCACCTACGGTGTGCTCGCCTGGGCATGCGTGAGTGTGTCCCGGGGTGTTCGAGCGGATTCCCGTGTCTGTGTTGGTGTGAGCGTGCATGCGTGTGTGTGGGTTTGCACCTGTGTCCGGTGGGGACACACTCAGAGACCAGGGTCGCTCATTAAAAGGACAAGGACGGGCACGCTTCACAGTCAAACGCGTCGCCTGAGCAGCCGGCGGCGACAGCTGCAGCCCTCGGCCTTCCGGGCAGGGCAGGCGGGCCCAGCCACACGTCTCGGAAAGCCCGAC